TGGTGTGTGTGTGTGGTGTGTGCGGTGTGTGTGGTGTGTGTGGTGTGTGCGGTGTGTGTGTGTGTGGTGTGTGTGTGCGGTGTGTGTGCAGTGTGTGTGTGGTGTGTGTGGTGTGTGTGTGGTGTGTGTGTGCGGTGTGTATGTGTGCGGTGTGTGGTGTGTGTGTGTGGTGTGTGTGTGGTGTGTGTGTGCGGTGTGTGTGGTGTGTGCGGTGTGTGTGGTGTGTGTGTTGTGTGTGCGGTGTGTGGTGTGTGTGTGTGCGGTGTGTGTGTGGTGTGTGTGTGCGGTGTGTGTGTGTGGTGTGTGCGGTGTGTGTGTGTGGTGTGTGTGGTGTGTGTGTGGTGTGTGCGGTGTGTGTGGTGTGTGTGGTGTGTGCGGTTTGTGTGTGTGGTGTGTGTGTTTGTTGTGTGTGCGGTGTGTGGTATGTGTGTGTGGTGTGTGTGTGGTGTGTGTGTGCGGTGTGTGTGCAGTGTGTGTGTGGTGTGTGTGGTGTGTGTGTGGTGTGTGTGTGCGGTGTGTATGTGTGCGGTGTGTGGTGTGTGTGTGTGGTGTGTGTGTGGTGTGTGTGTGCGGTGTGTGTGTGGTGTGTGTGTTGTGTGTGCGGTGTGTGGTGTGTGTGTGTGCGGTGTGTGTGTGGTGTGTGTGTGCGGTGTGTGTGTGTGGTGTGTGCGGTGTGTGTGTGTGGTGTGTGTGGTGTGTGTGTGGTGTGTGCGGTGTGTGTGGTGTGTGTGGTGTGTGTGGTGTGTGTGGTGTGTGTGTGCGGTGTGTGTGTGTGGTGTGTGCGGTGTGTGTGTGTGGTGTGTGTGGTGTGTGTGTGGTGTGTGCGGTGTGTGTGGTGTGTGTGGTGTGTGTGTGTGTGTGTGCGGTGTGTGTGTGGTGTGTGTGGTGTGTGTGGTGTGTGGTGTGTGTGTGTGCGGTGTGTGTGTGGTGTGTGTGTGTGGTGTGTGGTGTGTGTGTGTGCGCGGTGTGGTGTGTGTGTGTGTGCGCGGTGTGGTGTGTGTGTGTGTGTGCGGTGTGTGTGTGGTGTGTGTGTGTGGTGTGTGGTGTGTGGTGTGTGTGTGGTGTGTGTGTGCGTGCGGTGTGTGTGTGTGCGGAGTGGTGTGTGTGTGGTGTGTGTGTGTGCGGTGTGTGTGTTTGTGGTGTGGTGTGTGTGGTGTGTGCGGTGTGTGTGGTGTGTGCGGTGTGTGTGTTTGTGGTGTGTGTGTGTGTGCGCGGTGTGGTGTGTGCGGTGTGTGTGTGTGGTGTGTGTGTGGTGTGTGTGGTGTGTGTGTTTGCGGTGTGTGGTGTGTGCGGTGTGTGTGTTTGTGGTGTGGTGTGTGTGGTGTGTGCGGTGTGTGTGTGTGCGGAGTGGTGTGTGTGTGGTGTGGTGTGTGTGCGGTGTGTGTGTGTGGTGTGTGTGGTGTGTGCGGTGTGTGTGTTTGCGGTGTGTGGTGTGTGCGGTGTGGTGTGTGTGTGCACGGTGTGGTGTGTGTGCGGTGTGTGTATGTGGTGTGTGTGTGGTGTGTGTGTGTGGTGTGTGTGTGTGGTGTGTGTGGTGTGTGTGTTTGCGGTGTGTGGTGTGTGTGTGGTGTGTGTGTGTGGTGTGTGTGTGTGGTGTGTGTGGTGTGTGTGTTTGCGGTGTGTGGTGTGTGTGTGGTGTGTGTGTGGTGTGTGTGTGTGGTGTGTGTGTGTGGTGTGTGTGTGTGGTGTGTGTGTGTGGTGTGTGTGGTGTGTGTGTTTGCGGTGTGTGGTGTGTGGTATGTGTGGTGTGTGCGGTGTGTGTGGTGTGTGCGGTGTGTGTGGTGTGTGCGGTGTGTGTGTTTGTGGTGTGTGTGTGTGCGCGGTGTGGTGTGTGTGCGGTGTGTGTGTGTGGTGTGTGTGTGGTGTGTGTGTGTGGTGTGTGTGTGGTGTGTGTGGTGTGTGTTTGCGGTGTGTGGTGTGTGCGGTGTGGTGTGAGTGTGTGTGTGTGGTGTGTGTGGTGTGTGCGCGCACACGTGCACAGGCACGCTCTGGGAGATGTGTGAATGCGTGTTTATGCATGTGTGTACACGCACAGCATCGTGTTGCAGTATCTAGGTTGGTGCAGGTCCGTCTGCTCACTGCCAGGGGCTCTGTGCCTTTGGCTCTGCCAATTCTCTTAAATTCTGAGGACTTTCTCTCCTTCCTGAAGCTGACGTTCTGCCAGCCGAGCCCTCCTGCAGGACTCCTGGCTTTCTTGTTTCCACTTTGGTATTCCATCTGTCGTTTTGTTCTGTCTTGGGAGATTTCTAGTCCTCCGTAGGAGGACGGCACTTCTAATCCCTGAGATCCCCTTACAGTCCCTAAGACAAAAACAAACAAAACTCAGCATCTATTTGAGGCTTGTGGGGCAGTTGAGCCTTGGCTTGTGGACTTAGGAGTCTGGGTTTTGTTTTTTTAAGGGTTTTGTCACTCAGCTGTCCCTGCTTGCTGTGGCTGTTTTTGCTGACTTTTTCATTTTGCCTCTCCCATGTTAGGGACCATTCTTAGTGGTCTGGTCGTGCTGCCTGTGCTTATGACTGGACACCAGGAGGACAGGCACTCGAGGGACCCATTCTGCTGGGCTTCCTTGCAGGGCGACTGGCCAAGAGCCCACCAGTGCCACCGTCCTTACATTTTATCCAAATGTGCAGACTCTCGTCACCCTGACTCAGCTCACGTGAGCTGGCCTGCACCACCTCTGGGTGCCTGGGAACCATTGGGGCAAGAATTCTGGGTGCCCAGCAGGACCCTTCCAGCAGTGGCAGATCCTAGCACGTGGGTTCCCAAGGCTTAGGGACTGGCTGGCCACTCAGAGGCCTGGCAGCTTCAAGACCTGACAGCTAGGGCCCCATTTCTCCGGGTTTTCGAAGGTAGATTTATGGACTATGGCTATGGACATTCAGGTTGGAGGCCAACCGTTCTTGACTTAAGCCACCAGTGGCCAAGTCCCTGGGAAGTCTTCATGATCCTTGGCTTCCAGAAGCCGTGATGATGATGTTGCAGCAACAGGCCGCACTTCTAGTGTCATGGTGCTTGAATGGGCTCCAGGGCTGGACCCCTCCTCCTACAGTGGAAAGGGGTCATAGCTCTCAGGCCTAGGGTGTCTGAAGGCCCCCGACTCTGACCACGATCCACACTGTCCCTTCCATAGCATCTTACTCTGGTCTTTCTGCAGCCTTCACTTTTTGGCTTCTCCTACCTTCTCTCTACTGCATCATCACCCATCTTGACTGTCCATCATCTGTGCCCGCCCAGCGTCTGGAACTCCAGCTGTTGCTGGTGGTACTACCATTGTCACCACTGGCTGCCACCACCTCCAGCACTGCTGTTTTTCCCAGATCACTTCACCATCTTTTCCCTCAGCTTTGTCTGTACCTTGCAAGTCTTATATTGAGCCTAATATACCAGGGGCAACACAGGAGGAGATCTCCCCGGCTAACTCACAAGGTGAACTGCTTTTAAGCATAAAGGGGGTGTGGCAAGATGTCTTCACACAAATGCAGGGCTGTATTTTCACAGTCCAGGCCTTCTGTTGGGACATCAGGGACACCAGGCCTTCTCTGGCCTGGGTAGAAATGGCAGTAGGGTCATCTAGAGTTTATCAAGGCTGTGATGGCAGGAAAATCCCACGCAAATGATCTGAGGTGGTGGGCTGTGGCAGAGCCTTCAGGAGCAGGAGCTGTGCTTGGCAGCAAGCAGCGCAGCTGCACACAGCTTCCCTGAGTGTTCAAAGCGGTCTCTGCTAGCTTGAGGTCCACCTGACTGTCTGCTTGGCTGGTGGCCATGTGCTCAGATTCTAGTCTTTTCCGGATTGCACTGGTCAAGGTGGCAACCAGAAGTTTGGGACTGGGCCTGTGCCCAGTGGTGCAGATGTCCTACAACCAGAGCCATTTCTCCAGGCATCACTGTCCTTGGGCTCCTGACCGGCAGCTGCTCCTGACTGCCCAGGGATGAGGGCAGGAGCAAAGCGTGCTTCCTCCCCAGCGTGAGGTTCCCAGGCAATGCACGCTTACAGCGTGTCAGCACATGTTTTTGTATTCTTTTTAACTTTGTGTCTGCCTTTCAGTGGTTTCTTCTGTTGTACGTGAAGGCAAAACAGCCAACAATCCAGTCCAAGACGGAGCCCCAGAGCCCCTCTGTGTGGGTCTGTATAGATCACCTGGGATTTTATCAGGAAGCTGGTAGGCAGGTCTGGGCCAGGCCCCAGACGCCCCCTCGGTCAGTGCCCCGCCCCGGACGCCCCCTCAGTCAGTGCCCCGCCCCGGACGCCCCCTCGGTCAGTGCCCCGCCTGGGACGCCCCCTCGGTCAGTGCCTCCCCCCCCCCCCCCCCCGGACACCCCCTCGGTCAGTGCCCCGGACGCCCCCTCGGTCAGTGCCCCACCCCGGACGCCCCCCTCGGTCAGTGCCCCACCCCGGACGCCCCCCTCGGTCAGTGCCCCACCCCGGACGCCCCCTCGGTCAGTGCCCCACCCCGGACGCCCCCCTCGGTCAGTGCCCCACCTGGGACACCCCCTCGGTCAGTGCCCCGCCTGGGACACCCCCTCGGTCAGTGCCTCCCCCCGGACGCCCCCTCGGTCAGTGCCCCGCCTGGGACGCCCCCTCGGTCAGTGCCTCCCCCCGGACGCCCCCTCGGTCAGTGCCCCGCCTGGGACGCCCCCTCGGTCAGTGCCCCGCCCGGGACGCCCCCTCGGTCAGTGCCCCGCCCCCCTCGGTCAGTGCCCCGCCCCCCTCGGTCCGTGCCCCGCCCCCCTCGGTCAGTGCCCCGGACGCCCCCTCGGTCCGTGCCCCGGACGCCCCCTCGGTCCGTGCTCCGGACGCCCCCTCGGTCCGTGCTCCGGACGCCGCCTCGGCCCGCGGCCGGGCACCGGGCGCCGACGCCGCCGGGCCTCGGAGGCCGCGCCTCGCTCCGGGCAGGGCGCGCGCGTCGGCCGCGCGGGCTGAAGGGCTCCGGGCGGGGCCGGGCGGGGCCGGAACCAGCGCGCCCGGAACCTCAGCCGGGGACGCTATTGGCGGCGGACCCAGTTCCGGTACTTCCTGCCGGCTCGGCCCGACCTCGGCGCGCGCCTGACCCCCGTGACCCCAGTCTGACCCGGAGGCCGGAGGTGAGCCCGCGCGGCCGGGCCCGGGAGACCCCGCGTGCGGGGCGGGGGGGGGGGCAGAGCCCGAGCTGCGGCGCCCCCAGCCCGGGGCGGCCGGGCGGCCGGGCCTCGGCCCGCGGGGCAGCAGCGCCCGGCTCCCCGGTGCTCCCCCACGTCCCACTGACTGGTGGAGGACGGGCTGTTGGTTGGACTTGTCTGTGTCTGTCTGTCTGCCTGGCTGGCTGAGTGGCTGTTGGACTTGTCTGTGTCTGTCTGTCTGCCTGGCTGGCTGAGTGGCTGTTGGTTGGACTTGTCTGTGTCTGTCTGTCTGGCTGGCTGGCTGGCTGAGTGGCTGTTGGACTTGTCTGTCTCTGTCTGTCTGTCTCTGTCTGTCTGACTGGCTGTCTGTCTGGCTGTTGGACTTGTCTGTCTCTGTCTGTCTGTCTGACTGGCTGGCTGACTGGCTGTTGGACTTGTCTGTCTCTGTCTGTCTGTCTGTCTGACTGGCTGGCTGGCTGGCTGTTGGACTTGTCTGTCTCTGTCTGTCTGTCTGCCTGGCTGGCTGACTGGCTGTTGGACTTGTCTGTCTCTGTCTGTCTGTCTGACTGGCTGGCTGAGTGGCTGGTTGACCAGCTGGCTGGCTGGATGAATGACTGGCTGATGGCAGGGCCTCATTCTGCTGCCCAGTCTGGCCCAGAGCTGGAGATACTAATGTCTCAGCCTCCTGACTGCTGAGCTTACAGGCGTACACCCCCCACTCAGCTCCATCTGGCATTTCTTAGTGAAAGTTATCACCCGCGCCCTTCACGGCATCGTGTGGGACCCAGTCCCCTCCACTGTCCAATTCTGGGACACCTTCATCACACAGAGGAAGTTCTGGGGATCACTGATATACACGGTCTGGTGGTGAGTAGGTCAGATGTGGCATTGAATCAAAGCCAGGTGCCATTCATTTAGGAACCTGCATTCATTTGAGTGCAAGTATCATCCTTATCTCTTACTGGCAGGCTCTAGTGAGCATGTGCCAAGGGACGCTCATCTGCTTGGCACGTGCTTAGAGAATCACTGTCACCCCAGGTCAGTGCCAAATCTTTCAGTCTCATCTTACAGGTAGGAAGTGAGAGGGAAAAGGAACTGTTAGGGGTAAGAAGTAGCGATGGCAGTGCCCCGTCTTGGTGATTCCTGTTGAGAGCCTCAGACTTCCGTTCAACTGCTTTTTCTCATAATGCTGAGTTCCTGCTCAAATGCTTCTTCATGATACCCTGGGTGCCTCCCTAAGCAATGGAAAGAGCCAGGGCAGGCATACACAGCCATCAAGCAATCACAAAGCCCAGGGAGGGGCCTGCGTGTAAAACTGGCCTCCAGAGGCCTCCATGAGACTCTTTAGGCTCCCCTCCTGATGCATCTCACTACTTTTCTTTTCTGACTTTCCTTTTGCTTTCAATAAACTTACTGTGTTTCCCTTACACATTCCCTGCCTTTTGATTCTCTAATGCGTGGTGAAAAGGAATCCTTTTCCCTAGGAGGTATCAAAACGCAAGGTTTAAGCAGGTGAAGAAAACCAGGAAGAAGAGCAGTGGTACGAGGCTGAGTTTGTGGGAGGCTAGCTCTCCTCTTAACTGCCTTCTGTCGGGACATAAAAGAGAAATCCTCTGGGCTCTAGGATTGGCCCCCGAAGGGACCCGTATGTCCTGATGGCAGTCTTGCCTCCTGGAGCAGCAAGGCAGTGACTCCCAAACCCCAGAATGCCACACTGCCCAGGCCCCTCCGCATGCTGCTGCTTCAAAGGGGACAAAGCTTCTCCCCTCAGGCTGAACACTGAGGGACAGGTACACCCGGGCTGGGGTGCCTGGGAGTGCTGTTTGCCAGAAGAGTTCCCCTCAGGGCCCTGCTTTCAGGAAGGAGTGCTGCCGCATGGCTCCCAAGCTGGGGGCCCTGCCCTGACAGGTTTTGATGAGCTCCCAGCCAGGAAGGGGTGCAGGTGCTGTTCATCGATGCCCTCGTCCGCGTGATCAGGAGAATCGTGGCATTTTGGTGCTGCAGCTGTGGCATGACGTCAAGCACTCTGGTGCTGCACACTGCCGAGTGATCAGTTGCGTTTTCTCTTCTGCCTGACAAGCAAATAGAGGAGCATTAGTGGTTCTGCCCTGCCCGTCCACCTTATGCCCATTGTATGTGGCCTGCTGACGAGCGCTCTGCAACTTAGCACCTCAGATTTGTTCAGTTTTTCTGTAGCAGCAGAAATCCAGGGTGTGAGCAAACCAGATGCTGCTTCTGAGCCCCTTGTGGACACAGGGCTGGGCAGCTATGGGACCCTTGCTGCCTCTTACTGCAGAATGATGGGTCTTGGGTGACCAGCATTTGTAGGGCCAGCAAACACAGGACTTGGAAACAATCATGAGCTGAGCCAAGCATCGGCATAGGATCTGTGAGGCACGCGTGACTCTTGTGCACAGGGCTAGAGGTTTTCCTGCCGAGACCCTGGCTAGAAGAGAAATCAGCAAGCCACATGAGAGAGGCAGGGAGGCCAGCAAGTGGAGCCAGGCCTGAGCGAGTTCCTCAAGCACAGAAGGTGGCCTGGGTCTGGCAGATTTCGTTGTTGTAGTTTATTCTTTATTAGATGATTATAAAGCACTGTGCTAATCTTGTTTGTTTTTTAAGAGAACAAAAACAGTGCTTGGAGCATGTAGTGGGTGTCATTTCCCCAGCACGTTCAGATGGAGAAATGGATTTGTAGGCAGGTGTGTGGCCAGCATGGAGAAGCAGCCCTGCAGAGGGTGAGATGCACAGAGGACTGGGGAGGAGCTCTGACAATTCTGCTTACCCTTGTCACCCTCCTGGGCCTGCCAGGCAGGCCCAGGCCTACAGCTTCCATGCTGGCGCCTGCTGTGTGCCCCCATCAGCAGGGGCTTGCCGCCCTGTCTCTGGAGTGCAGCACTATTTAGGGCCCTCGTCCCTGCCTGGAGCCCCATGGGGGCAGGCAGTGCAGTCTGCAGCCTACAGAGCATGAGGTCTGCGTCGAGTCCTCGCTCCAGACTCTGTTCTACCTACTGCAGCGGAGGTGGGCCTCTGGCCGAGCACTGCTCAGATGGCCGTACAGTGTTGCTGGGTGGAGGTGGCTGATCTGTTCTCAGTGCCAGGCCAAGGCAGGCAGGGGCTGTGACCTGGAGGTGACAGGAAGGACTTGAACCATTGGTGGTGGTGGTGGTGGCACTGGGAAGAAGGCGTTGTCAGCTCAGAGGCAGAGTCCAGGGTGGCATCTACCACCCATACTGTACAGGAGCAGTGTGCAGGTGTGCTGGCGGGACCGGGCCACTCAGGCCTTGTGCTGGCATGGACCGGGCCATGTGGGCCTGTGTGCAAGTATGCTGGCGTGGACCGGGCCATGTGGGCCTGTGTGCAAGTATGCTGGCGTGGATCGGGCCATGTGGGCCTGTGTGCAAGTATGCTGGCGTGGACCGGGCCATGTGGGCCTGTGTGCAAGTATGCTGGCGTGGACCGGGCCATGTGGGCCTGTGTGCAAGCATGCTGGCGTGGACCGGGCCACGGGGGCCTGTGTGCAAGTGTGCTGGCGTGGACTGGGCCACGGGGGCCTGTGTGCAAGTGTGCTGGCGTGGACTGGGCCACGTGGGCCTGTGTGCAAGTGTGCTGGCGTGGACTGGGTCCCGTGGGGCTGTGTACAAGTGTGCTGGCGTGGACCAGGCCACGTGGGCCTGTGTGCAAGTATGCTGGTGTGGACCAGGCCATGTGGGCCTGTGTGCAAGTATGCTGGCGTGGGCCGGGTCCCGTGGGCCTGTGTGCAAGTGTGCTGGCGTGGACCGGGCCACGTGGGCCTGTGTACACGTGTGCTGGTGTGGACTGGGCCACGTGGGCCTGTGTGCAAGTGTGCTGGCGTGGACCGGGTCCCGTGGGGCTGTGTACAAGTGTGCTGGCGTGGACCGGGCCATGTGGGCCTGTGTACATGTGTGCTGGCGTGGACTGGGCCACGTGGGCCTGTGTGCAAGTGTGCTGGCGTGGACTGGGCCACGTGGGCCTGTGTGCAAGTGTGTTAGTGTGGACCGGGCCACGTGGGCCTGTGTGCAAGTGTGTTGGTGTGGACTGGGCCACGTGGGCCTGTGTGCAAGTGTGCTGGCGTGGACCGGGTCCCGTGGGCCTGTGTGCAAGTGTGCTGGCGTGGACCGGGTCCCGTGGGCCTGTGTACAAGTGTGTTAGTGTGGACCGGGTCCCGTGGGCCTGTGTGCAAGTGTTCTGGTGTGGACCGGGTCCCGTGGGCCTGTGTACAAGTGTGCTGGCGCGGACTGGGCCACGTGGAGCCCTCTGGTGAAGCAGACGCCCGCACCTCCCTCCCAATAAGCTCGTTCCCTGCTGCTCGGTCTTTACTAGCAGTGTTTCCATCCTAGAAAACAACCTAATGCTTACAGCTGGGTGAACGCTCGCCCTTGGGGATGGCTGGGGGCGGTTGCCTGGTCTGCACCAGCCGACAGTCTTCTGGTGAGGTCTGTGGGTGGTGAGGTACCTGCGCAGCCCCATGCTCCTCTTACCTGGTGTTTTCCCAAGCCTAGAGTTCCAAAACCCAATATTCAAGATTTACCTTAAGTATATTGAGTATTGCTTCTCTAGAATCTCGTGGGGTATTTTTAAAATATTTAAGCCGACAAGATTTAGTAAAATACTCAGGAGGCTGAGATCTGAGGGTCATGGTTTGCAGCCAGCCAGAGCAGGAAAGTCCATGAGACTCTAATCTCCAATTAACCACCAGAAAGCCAGAAGTAGAGCTGTGGCTCAAGTGGTAGAGCACTAGCTTTCAGAGAAACAGTGCTCAGGGACACTGCCTATGCCCTGAGTTCAAGCCCCAGGAGAGGCACAAAAAATAAGAGGGAAAGAAAGGGAGGGAGGGAGGAAGGAAGGAAGGAATCCAGGCTAAGAAGCCAGATACTTGAAGTCTAAAGATGATGAATGCTGGGCTGGGAAGGTGGCTCAGTGGTGGAGCGCTTGCCTTGCATGCATGAGGCCCTGGGTTCGATTCCTCAGTACCACATAAACAGAAAAAGCGGAAGTGGTGCTGTGGCTCAGTGGTAGAGGCCTTGAGCTGAAGAGCTGAGGGACAGCGCCCAGGCTGAGTCCAGGCCCACGGCCTGGGCGGCGAGCGCTCAGTCACTGTGGCAAAGCACTCATCGCTGTGTTCTCCTCTCTGCAGAGGAACCGGCACGCCAGGGCAGCGCTGGCTGGCGCGATGCACCTGGTCTGGTGTCTGGCCTCCCGCCGGCAGGCCCTTTGGAGACACAGAGCACGTGGCCTCCTGCACACGGCCCCCGCCGCCCCCCTGGATGGGGCTGCCCCAGTGTTTGTGCGAGCCCCGGCATTTGGGGACAGAATTGCCCTGGTTGACCAACATGGCTGCCACACCTACAGGGATCTCTATGCCCGCAGCCTCCGCCTGTCCCGGGAGATCTGTAAACTCCGGGGCTGCGTGGACGGGGACCTCCGGGAGGAGAGGGTCTCCTTCCTGTGCTCCAACGACGTCTCTTACGTGGTTGCCCAGTGGGCTGCGTGGATGAGTGGCGGCATTGCTGTCCCTCTCTACCGGAAGCACCCGGAGGCCCAGCTGGAGTACTTCATCCGGGACTCGAGGAGCTCCTTGGTGGTGGCCGGCCAGGAGTACGAGGAGCTGCTGGGCCCGGTGGTCAGCAGGCTGCGGGTCCCTCTCCTGCCTCTCACTCCCGCCGTCTACCACGAGGCCGCAGAGGGGACCACAGAGGCACAGGTGCCAGACCGGGTGTGGCGAGACCGTGGAGCCATGATCTTCTACACCAGCGGGACCACGGGGAGCCCCAAAGGGGCCCTGAGCACCCACCGCAACCTTGCAGCTGTGGTGAGTGTCGGGGCCTTCCCGGGGGCAGCGTGCCCTTCCGTGTCCCTCCCTCACCCCTGCAGCCCTGGGCAGGCTCAAGGCACTTTCTGGGGGAGGTTGTTTGTTCACTCCTCTGTGTGGCCATTCTTAGCCGTCTCTCTGTCTCTCTGTCTGTCTCTGTCACACACACACACACACCTGCAAACATCATGAAGTCTGGGTGACAGGGTGAGAGGAACATGGAGCCTCGGGACTCACTTGCCAGGGCAGGGCAGCCGTGCTTTCTGCAGTGGCCTCCTGGGTGACCCGCCAGGACCATGGACACAGAGAGGACAGAAGAGACCACTGCGTGCTGTGTGCTGTGAACAGACAGCCAGCCAGGCAGAGCCAGGATGTGTGTCTGGGACCTGAGATTGAGATTTGTTTGGGTGACCTGGGAGCAGGACCCATCTTTTGTCTGACCTGTGCATTATCAATAATGCCTGTGCACTAATTTTTTTATTCTATAACTTAGTGACCATTGTGACAAAACTCTTCACCCACTTTGCTTATCTGCGATAAATACTCCCAGAAAGTATTTGTTTGCATTTAAAAGGAATGAAGTCTCTTATATGGTAGGAGAAATAAAGTAAAAACAGAAGTTCAAAGCACAAGAGGAAGGCAGGAAGTAAACACAGATTCCAAGCCAGCAGCATGGCTGTGAGTGTGGTGACCTTGGCCAGGTGCACAAGCACACCTCACAAGCAGCCGCATCCAGGAGTGGACGCATTCGTCTGTGAGGTCATCAGGAGTGGACACGTTCATCTGGGAGGTCATCAGGAGTGGACACGTTTGCCTGTGAGGTCATCAGCGGTGGACGTGTTTGTCTGTGAGGTCATCAGCAATGGATGTGTTCATCTGTGAGGTCATCAGCTGTGGACATATTCATCTGTGAGGTCATCAGCAGTGGACACGTTCATCTGGGAGGTCATCAGGAGTGGACGCGTTTGCCTGGGAGGTCATCTCTGGGCCTCTCCATTCCCTGAAGAGACAGTGAGGTCCTGCAGTGTGCCGGACACAGCACCCTTGCCGTGGCTACATGGGGCACTCGAAGGCCTTGTCCCCAGGGCTCCTCAGTACGAGCTGAGGATACACCCAACACTGACTCTGTGGCTCCCCTCTAGCTGGATGTGCAGGGATCACAGAGCTTGGCACAGAGGCCGCGGTTGGACTGATCCAGTTAAATCTGGACCTCTGCTGTGTGCCTGGGCTGGGAACACCTGCAGGAGGCAGGGCCGCATTCACACCGCTGCAGAGCCCGTCTGCTGCCCCGACGGCTCTAACGCGGCTAACCGGCTGTGACCCTCCCTGAGCACGCAGGGCCCTTGGTCATCTGGCCTCCATCTCTGCCAGGAATCACCAGAGGGAGGAGTGTGGACTTTCCTCTTCCTCCTTGGCCCCGCATCCACCCATGTGCGTCTCTAGTGGCACAGCGCTCCTGGTCTTACCAGTGCTTTGTCCCCTGCAGGTGACTGGGCTGGTCCACGCCTGGGCCTGGACGAGAGATGATGTGATCCTCCATGTCCTCCCACTGCACCATGTCCACGGCGTGGTCAACAAGCTGCTCTGCCCGCTCTGGGTGGGAGCCACCTGTGTGATGCTGCCCGAGTTCAGTGCCCAGCAGGTCAGTCGGGAATCGTGTCTCAGCGCGAGCTGAGGGCCAGCTTTGCAGATATGTGAGTCCCGGGGACCACCGTGACAGAAGGCCATGGGCTGGGGATAAAACATCCTGGGGCTGTTCTCACCTTTCTGGAGTGAGTTGAATAGAGCCAAAACCAGGTATGGACAGGTATGGCCTTCCATCTGGAGGACCAGGGTCAGCCGCTGTCCCCCATGGCTCCCGTGCCCGGGGTTGGCTGCTGCCCCCCGTGGCTCCCGTGCCTGGGGTCGGCCTCTGTCCCCCGTGGCTCCTGTGCCAGGTCGGCCACTGCCCCCCGTGGCTCCCATGCCCAGGGTCGGCCGCTGCCCCCCGTGGCTCCTGCCAGCCTGTGCTCCTGGCAGCCCCTCTGGGCCCTGCTGAGCTCTCAATCTGCCTGTCTCATGAGGATAACCCAGGATCATCTCCCACCTTTTTGTTGTTGTTGTTGTTCTGGTCCTGGGGCCTGAACTCTGGGCCTGGGCGCTGTCCCTCAGCTCTTCAGCTCAAGGCGAGTGCTCTACCACTTGAGCCACATCGCCACTTCCAGCTTTTTTTCTTTTGCTGGGGAATGGAACCCAGGGCCTCAGGCATGCAAGGCAAGCGCTCTACCACTGAGCCACCTTCCAGCCCACATCTCCCACCTTTAGGCTTTACTGAATTCCATCTACAGCATCCCTTTCTCTGCCTGGGGCTGTTCAGAGCCCAGGGAAGAGCATTTGGACACCACAGCCATGGTCTGTAGTGAGTGACCCCCGCAGCGGGCTGGCCTAGGCTCCTCCTCTCTTCCTTCCAACTGCTACTGTACATGGAAGTTCTGGTGTCACTGAGCAACCTGTGAATTGTCACCTGCGCAGGGTGGCAGGTCAGAGCCAATGATTTGGAGGGAAAAAAAGCCACATCCGAAGGCTGATGCTGGCCTGGGTGACCTGGTCTATAACGCAGTCTCCCAGAGGCTGATGCTGGCCTGGGTGACCTGGTCTATAACGCAGTCTCCCAGAGGCTGATGCTGGCCTGGGTGACCTGGTCTATAACGCAGTCTCTCTGACGTTCAGTGGGGCCAGCGGCTGTTGACTGTGCTGGGTAGTACTCTTCCTGCGGGAGTGGGCAGTGGTGCTGTCTGTCCATGGGGTCCGTTCTGCTGCTCCTGCCCTTGCCTTGGGCCATCCTGCCCTGAGCTTACCCTCGCTTGACTCATCTTCCTGTCCCTGGCTGCCTGGGCCCGGGCCCTCATCTCCAGTCCCTCACCGGACTGTCAGAGCAGATGTGGGCCTTGCGCACCCGATCTGTGCACTCAGCACGGTCCTCCCCTGTGCCGTGTGGGCAGCTCCTCTGTGCCCTGGAATCTCTTCTGAGGTGCTGCGCTCCTGCGGTGACACTCTGGAGTTGCTCCTGCTGGGGCTCTAGCCAAGGTCTGGGGCCTATGGTCCATTCCCTAGCTTGTGATGCGGGCAGAGCCTCCTTTCATAGTGTTTAACATTCAGGCGTTTCTGATACTACCCAGTACTTGATCATGATGCTGTGGCTAAAAAAGACGCAGCCGTCTACATCTCTGGGTTTAGAAATGTATCTCCATGAAACCTGCTCTGAGCCCCAGTGTCTGGAGGAGCTCAGAGGAGCCCCGGTGTGCCCCGCGTCCGCGCTGCGCTGGGGCTGTGGTGCCCGCTGAGGACCGCTTCCAGTCTTGCTGTCTGAGAAGTTGCTCTCGGCCCTGAGTGTTTTGCTGTGCTCAGCGCCGCTGCCTGTGTGGACTTTCCGCTGAATGTCCCTCACCTGTGTCTCCTCTCACTGCAGTCTCAGTCTTTGGAGTGCGATGCTGTTGTACAAGGCAAGGACTCGGGGCTGCTCAGCTTGGATGCTGTTCATCCCAGTTTCCAATGCTGTGGGCCGGGACCCACTGTGAGGGCTATGGGGACTCCAAAGGCCAGGACCGCGGCACCCTGTTCTGCCTTGTTCAACCACTGGGTTCAAGGCCACAGAATAAACAACCTTCCATGACGTCTGCTTTTCCTTAAGAGCTGTGGGTAAACACGAAACACCTAACCTGTTAGGCGTTTTCATATTAAAGCTCATTATAAAGTCACTATGGAGTCAAACATAAAGCTCACATGATAACAAAGGACCTGTCTTCTGTCTGTGCCAACCACGGGGCTGACTTCTGGCCAGCGACCACCTGGGGCTGCTGCCAGCTTCTCTACCGTGCAAGTCACCCCTACGGAAGTAACTGGAGAAAGTTGACACTTCCGGCCACCGATAGGGAACCCTGGGCCCCGTTCCTCGCTTGCTCTCCCTGCTCTCCACACGGGGCATGCTCTAAGAGATGGGTCTGGGGCTCAAGAGCGCTCTGTGCTGGGAGCCGGGCTAGGAAAGGCTTCCGCTCAGGGAACTGACCTAGGACCGGAACACAGGTAGAATGTAGCTGCAAGTGCTGTTTCCTGATGTTTCTACTGGGTGCTTCCTTTTCTCTGTAGGTCTGGGAAAAGTTCTTAAGTTCTGAGACTCCACGGATTAACATGTTTATGGCCGTGCCCACGATATACAGCAAACTGATAGAGTACTACAACAGACATTTCACCCAGCCTCACGTCCAGGACTTTGTGCGTGCAGTTTGTGAAGAAAAAATTAGGTAAATGGAAAAAGCTCCCTTTCCTGTCCAGGAGGGTTAGTGATGGTCAGGTAGAAGTCAGGCTGCCGCTCGAGTGGCCTGGCTTCCCTTCCCTTGAAAGGATGTGTCCGCGCTCCTCTGTTGCTCTTTGCCCGTACATAGTCCCGTACCGCGCCTGCCGCCCCCAGCCTTCCGCACCTCTGTCTCCCTATCCCTCACGGCCGCGGGTGAGGGAGGGACTCAGAGAGGACAGTGCTCGGACGCTCTTGCGCGGCCCACGATGACCGCATAGTCTGTTTCTGCTCAGTCGTGGCTCTCCAGGTCCTGCTGCCCAGCCCTACGCGCCTTCTCAGCTCTGTCTCTTCTGGCTCCCTGGATAGGTGGCTTTCCTCCCACGGGAGCAGAGCCTTTGAGCCTTCAGTGGCATGGGCTTTGTTCTGTGTTCTCTTACGAACCTGTAGGCATGGTTTATTTCTCAGCTTTATGTTAAGGTGTGACACTGCTGGCGTGGTGACTCATTCCTATGATCCCAGCTAATCGGGAGCCAGAGATGGGAAGAATCACAGATGAAGGCCAGCTGGAAATTCCATCTGAACTAAGCCTGGCCTGGTGGGTGCTAGCCTGTCACCTGAGCTACTTGGGAGGCCATAGGTGTTGGGTTCAGGCCAGCCTCAGGCAAAAGCACAAGACCCTACCTGAAAACTAATCTAAAGCAAAAAGGGCTGGTGCCCCTGCCCAGAAAGCAAGAGGCCCTAATCCCCAATACCACCAGAAAAAGAATTTGACCTACTAACTGGAAGTGAACACGCACACTGGGCACTTGACCTACTAACCGGAAGTGAACACACACACTGGGCATTTGACCTACTAACCCGAAGTGAACAAGCACACTGGGCATTTCCCCATCCCGGCAGGCATGAGGGGAGGTCTCTGCGGCCAGGGGCAGAGGTGACCGCGTGCACAGGAAGCGGACCCAGGCTGGCCGAAGGACCTGTGCAGTCAGCGGAGTTTAAGATGCCAAGTGCCACCTTCCCCAACCCCCCAGGCCCACCTCGAGCTGGGTTCCCAGGCCACAGAAGAGCCCAGGAAGCAGCATCCGTCTCCCCAGGAGAGCAGGGGGCACGTGAGGCAGTGTGTGTTTGATAGTGCTCACCCGGGGGCCCTGGACGTCACCCGGAGTCAGCCAGGAGCTTGACCAGCGCCCTTCCTGTGCCACCGCTGGTGCCCTCTGCCCTGGGGCGTGTGGCCTCCACCTGGAGCTACGCTGGACCACTGCTGTCGCTCCTGTGGTTGTGAACATTTGTATGGTCATATTTGCAAAGTGCCACCAAAAACCCCAAAGATAACCTTTAATTTGCATTCCTTTGGCAGAACTCTGCGCCTCCTAAAGCAAATCCAATGAATTATTTCCAAGAAACACATAAGTTTTAGCCCAAACTCATTTTTATTGTGAATTTCAAGTACAGGGCTGTGGGGCAAGGGTGTTTTACAGTCTGTGTCCCGGCTGAAGGCACGAGTCTTGTGGGAGGCCCCTTCTGAGCTCCCTGTGCTGGTACCCTAGGCTAATGGTGTCAGGCTCGGCAGCCCTGCCCATCCCGGTGCTGGAGAGGTGGAAGAGCGCCACGGGCCACACGCTGCTGGAGCGCTACGGCATGACGGAGATCGGCATGGCCCTGTCCAACCCGCTGGCCGCAGCTCGCCTGCCAGGTACCTGCAGCCCCAGGCTTTCCTGTCCTGCTTTCTCTGAATGGCGGTGGCGGGGGTGGGGAGGTGTCCCGGCGACTTACATTGCAGGGGAGAGGAGTGGTGTGTGCTGCTGTCCGGGACGGGCCACGGGGGCTGAGGCCACCTTGGGGCTGGCCACCAGGCCAGTCCTGAGCGACGGTGGAGTGGGTGGGAAGGCCTTTCACCCTGCTCTGCCAGGTCAGTGGGGAAGAGCTCTGCTGAGTGGCAGGTGCTCCTGGGGACGGGCCCCTGGCCGCGATGCCGCCTCCGTCCGGGCGGCAGCCGCAGACCCGGGTCCGCTTCCGGGCCTCTGCTCTCCGCAGGGTCATGCTGACCCGGCCGCCTCGTGCCCGCGGGCGCTGGTGGCCCATCCTGCACCATGGCTCCCTTCCAGCCCCAGCCGTCTGTCTGTCCTTGTGCCACCCGCTGCTGTAAGCCTGGCCACTAGCCAAAGGACATCCCGCTTCCTTCTGGCTTGGGGACGCTCTGGGTCGGGTGTCCTCTGTCCAGAGGCCCCGTGTCCCTCTGTGCACTCAGCCTTGTGCTGGCCGGGCTGTGTGTCCTCCGGCGGCTGTCTGCCCTCTGCTCGCAGGCAGAGGGGACGGCTGTGAGTCCCGCAGAGCCCTGGACGCTGCCGGCTGCCTCACGTCGCACGGGGTGCTGGCATCTCGCCCAGTCTCATTGCTCTAGTAACTACTAGAGCAATTATTTGTTTTCATCCTGTACTCCGTCCCTTGCCGACGGTGGATGGAGGAAGGGGGTCCAGAGTCATTAAAATGCGAGGATCCGCTGGGGCCGGCCTCGGAGCGCAGAAGTGAGCGTGGTGAACAGCTGGCCACACCTCGTAGCCTCTAGATGTTGGCGCTGGTCGCCGGAACAGAATCAAGTACCTGTGGCTGGGTCCCACGTGCAGGTCCCGGAGGGGCAAGCTCCGCCCCACACCGTGCGGCTCCCGTCCTTAAACCTAGAAATGCGTCTTGAAAGTGCTGTCTCCGGGGATCCATGTCCTCGACAGAGGAGGAGGAGGAGAGGGGCTTCCTTGTACCTTCCCACTCTCAGCTGCCCCAGGCCCAGACAGCCCTGGCTTCGGAGCCTGTGGTTTGTTTCAGCTGCAGCCTCTGGTCCTGGGTGCCGACCTTGGTCCTCTGTGCTTGGGATGCACCCATGCCGCCAGGCTGCTCCAGCCAGAGTCCTCTCCTGCCAGCCCCTCCGTCCCCTGCATGTTTCAGCCGTGGGTGGGGGCCTGTCAGACGCCGGGCGGGGTCAGCTCACGCCAGAGCCCACAGAGGTGTGAGGGGGACTGGGGGCATGTTGCTGGTGCCAGGGCCGCTGCTCCCCTTCTCCCCGGTTGCTGTAAAGAGTGATGAATCATTTACAGCCTAGCTGTCACTGGGCCTGACAGCACAGTAATCAGGACCGGGGTCAGAGGCATGGAGGTTCTGGCAGCAGCCGGTTCCAGGGGTCTGGGGCCTGGCACCCACGTCCCTAGAAAACCATGGGTGCCTAGTACACGAACCACAGGGCAGGGTGCCACGTAACGAAACCATGGGTTCCTCATGCACAGCCACAGTGCAGTGCCCACTCAGCCTCACCGCGCCATCAGCCTGCTGCTGACTGCTTGTGCACACAGTGCACACCTCTTCTCACACCCACCCCCGACTCGGGGTGTTGTGTACACACGCACAGACTGACACACATAAAGGCCTAGGTGTGCTCTGTTCTTTTGCAACCTTCCAACTCCCACCTCTTTTCCCTTTCTCCTCAGGCTCCGTGGGGACCCCGCTACCCGGAGTGGAAGTACGTATTGTCTCCGAGAGCCCACAGAAGGAGGGCTGCCCCTATGCTGTCCACGCGGAGGGAAACGAGCGGGGGACAAAGGTGGGTCTGTGGGGTGGGGCCCGCTTGGTGCGCAGCGGCAAGGCTGCGCTGTCCCCCGTGCAGGGCTGGCTCGGACAGCAGGGACACTGCCAGCGTCTGAGGCCTCCTGCTGCTCTGGCTCCTTGGGGCTCTCTATCGAGGAAGCCTCAGGGCGGTGACAGCCTGGCCAAGGAGGATCCCAGGGCCGCAGCGGCCATGCTTGCAGATGGAGCCTGGGAACGCCGGTCTGCGCTCTGTGCTGTCCCAGCCCCACACGCTCCAGGGACCTTCCTGCCACAGTCCTGCAGTTCTCCATATTTCCTGTGTCACTCTGGTCTCGGCCAGGGTGACCACGGGCAAGGACATTCATTGTCTTATGTCCGTGAGGATTTCCACTGAAGAGCGGAGAACTGCTAGCAATTAAGTCACCTTGGTCACAGTTTTGGAAATGACCTGCCCCCCCACGCTGGTACTAGTGCCACTAGGGCAGGCGCCGAGTCCGTACCCCGCCAAGGTTCCGAGATGCCAGACGGAGCCTCGGTGCTCAGTCAGGGCCTTGTTTGGACTGTGATCGAGTTGGGCCACCAGCAGGTGTCCTGCCCTTGGCTCAGTCTCTGTGGACGGACCGCGATGGAGATAGAACCCCACTGGGAGGGGATTTTGCACAGGCCGAAGCGAGACCTGTCTACACAGCCCTCTGCTTGTTCCTTGGGGTTTCACTGGTCATGCTGTCCTCACCAGCCCCCGGCTTTGCCCTCTGGCCCTGCCTGGCTCCTGACCCGCCCTCTCCTCTGTCCTGCTTGGGCCAGCCTCCCCATGTGCGTAGCTTCTCAATCTGCTAGATCCTGGGGCCCTCCAGAGCCAGGCCGCTGTTCCCTCTGAGAATGGGCCAGCATTGGTGGTTTGTCTAGGCAAGATGCTCTGCCTTCAAAACTCACCGCTTCGGGAGCCTGATGCATTGGCATATGCCCATAACCCCAGCTACTCAGAAGGCAGAAGTAAGGGCAACCTTGATTCAAGGCCAGCACCGGATAAAAACAGAAGATCTTTTCCAAAACAGATAACTTGGGGATGTGGCTCAAGATCACCTGCCAAGCAAGTGCTAGGCCCTGAGTTCAAACCCCAGTACTACAAAAAACGAAACTTTGGACTAAGGTATCACCCAGATGTAGAATACTTGTCCAGTTTGCAAAAGGCCCTGGGCATGCTCCCCAGCCCCGCAAAAATAAAACCATAGAATTTATCAATTTAGCCGGGCACTAGTGGCTCACACCGGTAATCCTAGCTACTCAGGAGGCTGAGATCTGAGGATCACAGTTCAAAGCCATCCCTGGCAGAAAAATCTATGAGATACAAGACACTTATCTCCAATTAACCACCAGAAAACCAGAAGTGGCGCTGTGGCTCAAAGTGATAGAGCACTAGCCTGGAGCAAGAAGAGCAAAGGGACAGCACGCAGGCCCTGAGTTCAAGCCCCACAACAACAAAAAAAGAGTTTATCAATTGATAAAGAAGCTCTTCCTACCCCTGCTTAGTTAGGAGCAGCTACCTGGTATGCTGACGATGGAGGTCAGAAACATGCTGTCTATGAGAGACCATAGAGAGCAGACAGGAGGACAATGTGTGTTCTGGGTCATTGGACCCCTTTGCTCACTCAAAGATGGCCCAGAGGCCTTCTGTTGGCCTACAGAGGCCCCGCCCCCTCTGCAGCTCTGGAGATCTGAGAAAGAGAGAAACAGGGTCCACTGCGCTGGACCTGTGTAATGCCCTTGCTAAGGCAGACCCCAGGACAGCAACCTGACTCCATTCCTTGGGTCCTCGGTGATCCTGTCATGGTCCTCCGGTGATCTTGTTGCAGCCCTTGGGTGTTCTTGTCACCAGCCTGGCAGTGTGTGTGTGTGTCTATGTGTGTGTCTGTGTGTCTGTGTCTGTGTGTCTGTGTCTGTGTGTGTGTCTGTGTCTGTGTGTGTCTGTGTGTGTCTGTGTCTGTGTCTGTGTGTCTGTGTGTCTGTCGTGTCTGTGTCTGTGTGTGTGTCTGTGTCTGTGTGTGTCTGTGTCTGTGTGTGTCTGTGTCTGTGTGTGTGTCTGTGTCTGTGTCTGTGTGTGTCTGTGTGTGTGTGTCTGTGTGTGTGTCTGTGTGTGTCTGTGTCTGTGTGTGTGTGTGTGTGTGTCTGTGTCTGTGTGTGTCTGTGTGTGTGTCTGTGTGTGTGTGTGTCTGTGTCTGTGTGTGTGTCTGTGTCTGTGTGTGTGTGTCTGTGTGTGTGTCTGTGTGTGTGTGTGTCTGTGTGTGTGTGTCTGTGTGTGTGTCTGTGTGTGTCTGTGTCTGTGTGTGTGTCTGTGTGTGTGTGTGTGTCTGTGTCTGTGTGTCTGTGTGTGTGTGTGTGTGTCTGTGTCTGTGTGTGTCTGTGTGTGTGTCTGTGTGTGTGTGTGTCTGTGTGTGTGTCTGTGTGTGTGTCTGTGTGTGTGTGTGTCTGTGTGTGTCTGTGTGTGTGTGTCTGTGTGTGTGTCTGTGTGTGTCTGTGTCTGTGTCTGTGTGTGTGCTGTGTGTGTGTGTGTCTGTGTCTGTGTGTGTGTCTGTGTCTGTGTGTCTGTGTGTGTGTGTGTGTCTGTGTCTGTGTGTGTCTGTGTGTGTGTCTGTGTGTGTGTGTGTCTGTGTGTGTGTCTGTGTGTGTCTGTGTCTGTGTGTGTGTGTGTCTGTGTATGTGTGTGTGTGTGTGTGTGTGTGTGTGTGTGTGTGTCTGTGTGACTAGAGGCACTCTGGGGAGTGGACTTTGCTCCTGGGGTGAGGATGTAGTGTAGGTCGATGCCACACACAGGGTGCTCTCTGGAAAAGGGGTGTGCAAACCCTATGTGACAGAAGGTGGGCTCCTCAGTCCTCCCAAGAGACAGCATGGGGCTGGGCAGGGACACTCAGCACCAGCAGGGCCCCCAAGAGATGATCTGATCTGCAGCCTCGTCCTGTCCCGTGTTCCTAATCCAGTGACCATCCGTGTCCTCATCCTGTCCCGTGTTCCTAATCCAGTGACCATCCGTGTCCTCGTCCTGTCCCGTGTTCCTTGTCCAGTGACCATCCGTGTCCTCGTCCTGTCCCGTGTTCCTTGTCCAGTGACCATGTATCCTCATCCTGTCCCATGGCCCTGTGGTGAACAGCTCTGGAAGCTGTGCATCTCTGTTACGGCACCCCAGGTGCCCCAGGTCTGTGACCAGGCACCCCCTGGGGATACAGCTCCCTCTGAAGTCCTTCCCCTTTGGGACTTGCAGCGGGCCAAGGCTCACGGCCTCCCTCAGCCTGACTCCCGGCCACCGGAGGGGTTAACCGCACTGCTGTGCGCTGTGCGTGATGCATATTTCATGTGCGGTGGATCCCAGCTGGCTCCACTGCCAGCCCCATGAGCACATTGCCCATTGTCTCTTTATTTTTTTATTTTTTCTGTTTTCTTAGATTGCTTGTTTACATGAGAACCACACAGCAGCCAGTGACAATAGCGGTCTATCAGCAGATAAAGGCTGCACAGCTGTGCGCTCCACCACCCCGTAGCCCTTGTGAGGAGCCAGAGACCGCGCGCTAGGCTGGGGCAGGCAGCCACGGCCCCAGGACGCTCCATCCTCTTTACTTCCTCCTGTACATAAAAGCATAGCCTCATGTTTCTCTCGCTCTGACAGCAGACTGCTCAGCTGCCGCTGCCCTCCCCACGCCATGGTATCTGTGTCCCTCCTGCCTGGGTGGAGGCCCACCTCCCTCCCTTCCTGACACTCGGCTCAGGCGCTGTGTCCTTCTGGTGCGGCAGGGTCACTTCCCCTTTGTAAAAGGGCAGCGAGGAGATGCCAGGACCCCGGACAGGGAGCCTCCCCCAGGAGAGCCGGTCACTCACCACCCACCGTGTGAATGCCTGCAGGCAGCTTAGCTTCTCTGTGCCTGTCCCGTGGACACACCGGGCCTTTCTCCCCAGATGCCTCCAGGGGAAGGCATAGGAAGTGTGGGACATTCAGGGACCCCCAAGCCCATTTCCTGCTCCCCCTCGGCCCCCCAATGCCTTGGTTCTGTGCAGCTGCTCCCTGGAGATGAGGTTTCTTTCCTGTGAGCTCAGGATACTTCTGGCCCAGGAAACTCAACCGTGTGGTTTATTGCTGGCTCTGGGTCTTTTCTCTAAGAGCTTTATCAAGATAGAATTTCTGTGTAGTTCACACATGTGAAGTCCACGGTCCAGTGGCTTTTAGTGCATTTGCAGAATTGTGCACCTGTCTTCACAGACAGTTTTAGAGTGCTGTCATCACCCAGGAGATCACCAGGGGCCACTCCCCGCCCCGCCCACCATTGGAATATACCACAACATAATAAAGACCGCACCTGGAAGTGTTGGTATGGCCTAAGTGGTAGAGCTTTGAGCAGAAAAGCCATGTGGGAACACAAGGCCCTGAGTTCAAACACACAACCAGCACAAAAATACAAGCACATCTGACACACCCATGGCGTCCCACCGTATTGAATGAGGGAAGATGTAGAACAAGGCCAGGCACAGGTGGCTCACGCCTGTCATCCTAGCTACTCAGGAGGCTGAGATCTGAGGAACACAGTTCAAAGCCAGCCCAGGCAGGAAAGTCCGTGAGACTCTTACCTCCAATAAATCATTAGAAAACCAGAAGTGCGCTGTAGCTCACGTGGTAGAGCGCTCACCTGGAGCTGAAGAGCTGAGGAACAGTGCTCAGGCCCAGGGTTCAAGCCCCATGACCGACAAAAAAAAAAAAAAAAAGATGTAGAACAAGGCAAGAATGGCTACTTTTGCCCCTTGGATTCTGCATAGTACTGGGAGATCTACCCAGCGCATTTAGGCAAGAGAAAGAAAGAGTGGAAGCGGATGCTATAATACTATCTACTCAGGAGGCAAAGCTCTGAGAATCACAGTTCAGAGCTGTCTAGACAGAAAAGTTCATGAGACTCTTCTTTCCAATTAGCCAGAAAAACATCAGAAGTAGAGATATGGCAAATGGTAGAGCCCCTTCCTACCAAACATGAGGCCCTGAGCTCAAACAAGTAAACAAGACACAAGCACATCACCAAGGCCTCTGCAGGGTCAGTGTCCTCAGCCTCTGCGCTTGGCCCTCCTGGCCTTGTCCTCCAGGGGGTCTCGTGGTGGTGATGTCCTCTCAGTATTGTCTGGGGTCTGCCTGAGGCTCTACGGTAGTTAGCGCTACTTTTTTTTTTGGAAGGAGTGTGTTCTAAAGTAATGATTTACAGTGTGTCTTCTGGGAATATGGCTCAGGCAGCAGAGCACCTGCCTAGCACAGGTGAGGTCTTGAGTTCGAAACTTCAGTACTGAAAAAAAAATGAAGCAGACAAATGGGTCAAAAAAGCGCACCTCTGGTAAGGACTCGGGACAGTTACTGCCGCTTTCCCATGACTGGCATCGCCTGTGGCCTGTGCTGTCACCTCACACCTGACCAGCAGCTTACTCACAGGCCCTGCCACAAATAGGAGACGGGACAGGGCTCCGAGACAGTGAACCGTGGTGTGCGCCCGCTGGGGAGGGACCTCAGCTCTGCTCCTCGCTCAAAATCCCTGCGGGGCTCCGGGCAGAGCCCCTGCCCCCAGAAGGCCCTGCAAGGGGCTGCCTGCTCCCAGCTCCACGGCTGGACTCCTGGCCACGTGTGGCTGCGGTTGTGTGGAGCACAGCAAGGCGGGAGCCGGGCGTGCAGGTGCGGGCTCACTGATAATCTCAGAAAGCTTCTGATTGCGAGGTGGGCAGAGGCTGCGTGCAGGCAGGTCCCACTTGGAGGTGTTGAGAGGGGCTCCCTTCTGACCTACATGTCTCTCACCTTCTGCAGGTGACCCCAGGATTCGAAGAGAAGGAAGGGGAGCTGCTGGTCAGGGGTCCCTCTGTGTTTCGAGAATATTGGGATAAACCAGAAGAAACTAAGAAGGCGTTCACCCCGGATGGCTGGTTTAGAACAGGTAGGGCCCGGCTCCGTGGGCAGGAGGGGCCCACGAGGGCCGGTTACCACCCCAGGCCGTTTGTTTCACCCCCGGGCCCGAGGTTTCCCGGGCCTGCCCATGGGCTGAGTTCCATCAAGGAGCATCTGGAGGGAGACTGAGGCTTCACCAGATGGGGCTCATAGCCCCACTTAAGGATGTGTGTTGTCCCAGCCGGCCTGAGCCACTGTGATCTGTGGGTAGAAATCCATCTATCTGTCCTACCAGGGAAGACCAAAGTGGCCACCGGGAACCCAGTGCTGGGGGTCTGTGTGCCCGGAGGACCTTTGGGATAAAGGGGCAGGCAGGGTGTCTCCGGAGGGGAGTCGGGCTGTCTGGCAGCTCCCTTCTGCCTCCCCTTTGTGGCACCAGGGGCTAGACATGCCAACCCAGCCAGCCCTACACCCTCCGACCCACCCCAGCCCTTCTCCTCCCAGCCGCAGTGTCGGGAGCTCCAAGTTGTGTGGACAGGAGCCCCAGTGGCCAGCGGGGCCTTGCAGATGCGTGTGGGGTGCCGGTCCCCAGAGCAGAGGCTTTGTGTGGGGTGCTGGTGCCCAGAGCAGAGGCTTTGTGTGGGGTGCCGGTCCCCAGAGCAGAGGCTTTGTGTGGGGTGCTGATACCCAGAGCAGAGGCTTTGTGTGGGGTGCCGGTGCCCAGAGCAGAGGCTTTGTGTGGGGTGCCGGTCCCCAGAGCAGAGGCTTTGTGTGGGGTGCCGGTCCCCAGAGCAGAGGCTTTGTGTGGGGTGCTGGTGCCCAGAGCAGAGGCTTTGTGTGGGGTGCCGGTCCCCAGAGCAGAGGCTTTGTGTGGGGTGCCGGTCCCCAGAGCAGAGGCTTTGTGTGGGGTGCCGGTCCCCAGAGCAGAGGCTTTGTGTGGGGTGCCGGTCCCCAGAGCAGAGGCTTTGTGTGGGGTGCTGGCCAGTGCCCAGAGCAGAAGCAGGGCCTGGGGCATGTCCTGCAGGTGTCAGGCTGCCTGGTGGTGCCCCGGGGCTGGGCCCAGGCACGCGGGACATGCTCCTGTCCCCGTGGTCTGCGAAAGAGTGCTACCACAGACCCGCCCAGCGCTCCCTCTGAAGACGCCCCTCCCATGCCAGCTCTGGGAGAAGCGACTCCGCCCTGAGATTGTCCCTCAAATGCCGTATTTGAGAGACGCTGCTTTTGTACGGATATGCCCCTCGGGCCCGCCCACCTCCCAGCCTCCTCCACCGAGACCCAGCTTGCTTTGTGATCGCCCCCTCCATGTCTAAGTTCAGACAGGAAGCCACGTTTTTCCTGGAGAGGCACAGGCTCCTAACCCTGGGCTCTGCCCGGTCTGGCTCTCAGAGCCCCGGGCGGCCGGGCACCACGTGGGCGCCCCGACAGCTCCCGCAGCAGCACAGGAGTCGCACGCATTAATTATCGTAAAGAGATGTCTTCAGGAGAGAGTGATTTTGATATTCCGTTTAATTTCATTGTAATGTGCTGCACACAGGAAGGGAGTGTGTGTTTAATTGGCTCTCGGGGGTAAGGCCTGGAAGCCGGCAAGCCTTTGTCACAGGCCATTAGTGACACAGACTGCATAATGAGAGTGTGCAATCAGATCGCAGCTGCTGCTCCTACGGGGAGAGCATGATAGTAAGTAGAAATCAGGATAAATTAAACTTAACCCTTTCCTCGGCCAGTCCCTCCTGCCTCACAGACTCTGGCATAAGCTGTCACGTAAGCTCTGTTCTGACATTTGGGAGAGCCCAGTGCACACCCCCCCCCAGGCCCTGGAGAGGTCACCCCGTCCACCACCCCCCCCCAGGCCCTGGAGAGGTCACCCCGCCCACCACCCCCTCCCCCAGGCCCTGGAGAGGTCACCCTGTCCACCACCCCCCCCAGGCCCTGGAGAGGTCACCCTGTCCACCACCCCCCCAGGCCCTGGAGAGGTCACCCTGTCCACCAGCTCGCCCCCCAGGCCCTGGAGAGGTCACCTCATCCACCACCCCCTCCCCCAGGCCCTGGAGAGGTCACCCCGTCCACCACCCCCTCCCCCAGGCCCTGGAGAGGTCACCCCGTCCACCAGCTCGCCCCCCAGGCCCTGGAGAGGTCACCCCGTCCACCACCCCCCTCCCCCAGGCCCTGGAGAGGTCACCCTGTCCACCACCCCCCCCAGGCCCTGGAGAGGTCACCCCATCCACCAGCTCGCCCCCCAGGCCCTGGAGAGGTCACCCCACCCACCAGCTCACCCCCCAGGCCCTGGAGAGGTCACCCTGTCCACCACCCCCCCCAGGCCCTGGAGAGGTCACCCTGTCCACCACCCCCCCCAGGCCCTGGAGAGGTCACCCCGTCCACCACCCCCCCCAGGCCCTGGAGAGGTCACCCCGCCCACCACCCCCTCCCCCAGGCCCTGGAGAGGTCACCCCGTCCACCACCCCCCCCAGGCCCTGGAGAGGTCACCCCGTCCACCACCCCCTCCCCCCCAGGCCCTGGAGAGGTCACCCCGTCCACCAGCTCCCCCCCCCCCAGGCCCTGGAGAGGTCACCCCGTCCACCAGCTCCCCCCCCCAGGCCCTGGAGAGGTCACCCCGTCCACCAGCTCCCCCCCCCAGGCCCTGGAGAGGTCACCCCGTCCACCAGCTCCTCCCCCAGGCCCTGGAGAGGTCACCCCACCCACCAGCTCCACCCCAGGCCCTGGAGAGGTCACCCCTTGATGCCCGCCACTTTGCCTCTTTTGCCCCTGTCCTGAAGCCCGGCTCTGCCTGGAGAGCACAGTGGGAGACTCAGGCTTGCAAGGGTCCCCGTCCCTGGAGCGGCTCCCCTGGAAGCCCCAGCAGCTCCCCAGACACTGACTTCCACACAGACCTGCTCCCCGCACGTCCGGTGTTGTCTGCCTGCCCAGATGATCCCGGGCGCCTGGGGCTCGAGCAGGCAGAAGGTGAGCCCGCAAGCCAGGGCCCCAGTGGCTAGGCAGGCAGCCCGAGTCCTGCAGGCTTGAGTGACGAGTCTTTCCTGCAGAAGCGCAGGCCGGGCTCAGGAGAGGAGTAACTTTCCAGGCCTGAAGGCCAGGGGTTACCAGAGTCCATCAGTACACACGTCGCAATGCATGGTTAGTAGTAACAAGCCATCAAGGAGGGCCACGGGCTCATGGCCGCAGAGGGCGGCTGCTCAGAGAGCAGCTCCCACATGCCAGCAGGGAGGAGCCAGTGGGGGCTGGCTCTTGCTCCAAGAGAGACTGTGCTCACAGGCTTTGCTGTGGTGCACCTGCTGTGTGATGGGCCTTCCCTACGGTTTTCCTGCCCCATTGCTCTATGCCAAGCCTGTTGGCATGGCCGGTGGAGCATTGGCTGCTCCTCCCTGGTCTGCGCCAGGACATCCTTGGCCCTCTTCGGCCAAGGCTGAGACATGTCTTCAACATGTGGCAGCAGATGGGTTTATAAATGTGACCCGTCAACCTTTGCCCCCTAATCCTCTGTAGGAACTCGGATGACTTGTTGAATCTGTGACAGCTCTGTGTGGAAGCCAGGAGCCTACCATCAGCCTACTGGGTTGGGCTGGACCCCGGGTCTGGGCCTCACCCTGCAGTGAACTGCCATGGGTGGGTGGGCCCGTGCAGCGTACCCACTGCAAGAGACACAGCACTCCAGAGGGGCCAGCACTGCAGCACTGCCCTCCGGCAGGCCTGGGCCCGCAGGAGGCCATGGGGCACCCTGGGGGGCTGTCCCCCTCCATGTCAGCCAGGGTGGTTCCTGGGGGCCTCCAACACACCCCCACCGTCTGGCTCAGCCTCCCTTCCAAGGCCTGCCGAATTCCCCTTAGTTTTGTCAGGTTTAGCATCATTGCCCGTGCAGAGCGGGTGTCTTCCTATTGCATTCCTCAAGTGGTTACCAGTGGTGTATTGGGAGACGGTTGCCGTTTTTTATCTATGTGATTGCTAGAAGTCTGATGAAATTTCCTTTAAGTTCTGATCGTTTGAATGGTGTAGACAGCACCATCACAACAGGACAGAGTGAGCGTGGGCCTGTCTCCATTGTGCTTTTCCTTCACTGTGTCCCCCACCCTGAGGCTGGTGGATGGAGCCCGGCTGTGCTGACCGGGCCAGGCCCCTGCCAGCGGCTCCATCTTCCTCCTGAGGAAAGAGGCCATATCACAGCCTTTGGGGAAACCCACTTCCTGCCACACCTGCCCCACAGGGCAGCCCTTATGGCTCTGTCCAGCTCTGAGCCCTTATCTTCTGCTCTCCAGTTTCCAGGCTTAGCTAGTCTTCTTTCTATGCCTTTCTTTATAAAAAAGAAAGGAAAGCGTCCATTGGTTCTTGTCTCCAGAGGGAGAGCAGATCGGTCAGGCCCGGCACGGTCCTGGGCAGGATTTGTAAGATTTATGACTCTGCAAAGCTGCCAGCTCTGTTTTACTATTTTTTTGGTTGGTTGTGGAGCTTGAACTCCAGGCCTGGGCGCTGTCCCTCAGCGCTTTTGGTCAAGGCTAGCCTCTACCATTTGAGCCACAGCCCCACTTCTGGTTTTTGAGTGGTTAACTGGAGATAAGAGTCTAACTGGGACTTTTCTGCCCGGGGTGGCTTCAGATCTCAGATCTCAGCCTCCTGAGTAGCTAGGATTGCAGGCGTGATCTCGGGCAGCACCTGGCTGTTTTATTTTCATCGTCTGTTCCTTACGACGCTCCTTCCCGGGGGATCGTGGCAGCAGGCAGTGGTAGCCAGCTGTGCACTGCCATGAACAGCCCCTCCCGCTGGCCTTCAGGACAGCTTCTGGATAGGTGGCCCTTGCGGAGCCCCAGGGGAGCCTGAGGTTTCTCCTGCAAGACAGGAGGCCCTCAGAGGTGGGCCTGGCGTCCCCAGAGCTTCAAGGTTCAGGTGCATCTTGGGGTGCCTGCAGGTTCCTGCCATTGTGCCAGAGCCTGGCTCAGGCCAGGGTCATCTCTGGCCAGCGGTGCAGCTCCCATGGACAGCAGCCTGTGGCCAGCGGTGCAGCTCCCGTGGACGGCAGCCCGTGGATAGCGGTGCAGCTCCCCTGTCCAGTGGTGCAGCTCCTGTGGACAGCAGTGCAGCTCCCATGGACGGCAGCCCATGGACAGCGGTGCAGCTCCCCTGTCCAGTGGTGCAGCCCCCGTGGACAGCAGCCCGTGGACAGCGGTGCAGCTCCCCTGTCCAGTGGTGCAGCTCCCGTGGACAGCAGTGCAGCTCCCGTGGACGGCAGCCCGTGGACAGCGGTGAAGCTCCCTGTCCAGTGGTGCAGCTCCCGTGGACGGCAGCCCGTGGACAGCGGTGCAGCTCCCCTGTCCAGTGGTGCAGCCCCTGTGGACGGCAGCCCGTGGACAGCGGTGCAGCTCCCTGTCCAGTGGTGCAGCCCCCGTGGACAGCAGCCCATGGACAGCAGTGCAGCTCCCCTGTCCAGTGGTGCAGCCCTGTGGACAGCAGCCCGTGGCCAGCAGTGCAGCTCCCCTGTCCAGTGGTGCAGCCCCCGTGGACAGCAGCCCGTGGACAGCAGTGCAGCTCCCATGGACAGCAGCCCGTGGCCAGCGCTGCAGCTCCCTATCCAGTGGTGCAGCTCCCCTGTCCAGTGGTGCAGCCCCTGTGGACAGCAGCCCATGGACAGCAGTGCAGCTCCTCTGTCCAGCGGTGCAGCCCCCGTGGGCGGCAGCTTGTAGGCTCACCTTGGCAAGGCCTTCACCCCCCCTACTCATGCATAGAAAATTAGAATCTGTGCATTGGAGAGATTTATTTTCAATTATGGTCTGAGGCAGATACTTGAAATAGCCCTGTATTTGAAAGCAGTGCATAAATCCATGTAATGAGATTGTATTGATTGCTACCTTGTATCTGTCAGAACAAATGCCCTGAATGCGTGTCAGGCTGTGGAGATGCGCTGGCAGGAGACACTGAAGCCCGATCCATGCATTTCCATAAATACGTTGCTACAAAAAGTAAATGTTACTTAACTTGTTTGATATGCATTTCACAGCAAAGACTTACCTTTAACTCCCTACTTGACAGCCTGGCACCCGGGACCAGCAGAGCCTCCTCCTCCCTCCCACCCCTGGCCTCCTCCTCCTCCTCCTCCTCCTCCCTCCCACCCCTGGCCTCCTCCTCCCCCTCCTCCTCCCTCCCACCCCTGGCCTCTTCCTCCTCCTCTTCCTCCCACCCCTGGCTTCCTCCTCCTCCTCCCTCCCACCCCTGGCCTCCTCCTCCTCCTCCCTCCCACCCCTGGCCTCCTCCTCCTCCTCCTCCTCCTCCCTCCCACCCCTGGCCTCCTCCTCCTCCCTCCCACCCCTGGCCTCCTCCTCCTCCTCCCTCCCACCCCTGGCCTCCTCCTCCTCTTCCTCCCTCCCACCCCTGGCCTCCTCCTCCTCCTCCCTCCCACCCCTGGGCTCCTCCTCCTCCCTCCCACCCCTGGCCTCCTCCTCCTCCTCCTCCTCCTCCCTCCCACCCCTGGCATCCTCCTCCTCCTCCCTCCCACCCCTGTCCTTCTCCTCCCTCCCTCCCACCCCTGTCCTTCTCCTCCTCCTCCTCCTCCCTCCCACCCCTGGCCTCCTCCTCCTCCTCCCTCTCACCCCTGGCCTCCTCCTCCTCCCTCCCACCCCTGGCCTTCTCCTCCTCCTCCCTCCCACCCCTGGCCTCCTCCTCCTCTTCCTCCCACCCCTGGCCTCTTCTTCCTCCTCCCTCCCACCCCTGGCCTCCTCCTCCTCCTCCCTCCCACCCCTGGCCTTCTCCTCCTCCTCCCTCCCACCCCTGGCCTCCTCCTCCTCTTCCTCCCACCCCTGTCCTTCTCCTCCCTCCCACCCCTGGCCTCCTCCTCCTTCCTCCCACCCCTGGCCTCTTCCTCCTCCTCCCTCCCACCCCTGACCTCCTCCTCCTCCTCCCTCCCACCCCTGTCCTTCTCCTCCCTCCCACCCCTGGCCTCCTCCTCCTTCCTCCCACCCCTGGCCTCTTCCTCCTCCTCCCTCTCACCCCTGGCCTCCTCCTCCCTCCCACCCCTGGCTTCCTCCTCCTCCCTCCCTCCCACCCCTGTCCTCCTCCTCCCTCCCACCCCTGGCCTCCTCCTCTTCCTCCCTCCCACCCCTGGCCTCCTCCTCCCTCCCTCCCACCCCTGGCCTCCTCCTCCTCCTCCCTCCCACCCCTGGCCTCCTCCTCCTCCTCCCTCCCACCCCTGTCCTTCTCCTCCCTCCCTCCCACCCCTGTCCTTCTCCTCCTCCTCCTCCTCCCTCCCACCCCTGGCCTCCTCCTCCTCCTCCCTCCCACCCCTGGCCTCCTCCTCCTCCCTCCCACCCCTGGCCTTCTCCTCCTCCTCCCTCCCACCCCTGGCCTCCTCCTCCTCTTCCTCCCACCCCTGGCTTCTTCCTCCTCCTCCCTCCCACCCCTGGCCTCCTCCTCCTCCTCCCTCCCACCCCTGGCCTTCTCCTCCTCCTCCCTCCCACCCCTGGCCTCCTCCTCCTCTTCCTCCCACCCCTGTCCTTCTCCTCCCTCCCACCCCTGGCCTCCTCCTCCTCCTCCCTCCCACCCCTGGCCTCCTCCTCCTTCCTCCCACCCCTGGCCTCTTCCTCCTCCTCCCTCCCACCCCTGGCCTCCTCCTCCTCCTCCCTCCCACCCCTGTCCTTCTCCTCCCTCCCACCCCTGGCCTCCTCCTCCTCCTCCCTCCCACCCCTGGCCTCCTCCTCCTCTTCCTCCCTCCCACCCCTGGCCTCCTCCTCCCTCCCTCCCACCCCTGGCCTCCTCCTCCTCCTCCCTCCCACCCCTGGCATCCTCCTCCTCCTCCCTCCCACCCCTGGCCTCCTCCTCCTCCTCCTCCTCCTCCCTCCCACCCCTGGCCTCCTCCTCCTCCCTCCCACCCCTGGCCTCCTCCTCCTCCCCCCTCCCACCCCTGGCCTTCTCCTCCTCCTCCCTCCCACCCCTGGCCTCTTCCTCCTCCTCCCTCCCACCCCTGGCCTCCTCCTCCCTCCCTCCCACCCCTGGCCTCCTCCTCCTCCTCCCTCCCACCCCTGGCCTCCTCCTCCTCCTCCCTCCCACCCCTGGCCTTCTCCTCCTCCTCCCTCCCACCCCTGGCCTCCTCCTCTTCCTCCCACCCCTGGCCTCCTCCTCCTCCTCCCTCCCACCCCTGGCCTCCTCCTCCCTCCCACCCCTGGCCGCCTCCTCTTCCTCCCACCCCTGGCCTCCTCCTCCTCCTCCCTCCCACCCCTGGCCTCCTCCTCCTCCTCCCTCCCACCCCTGGCCTCCTCCTCCTCCTCCCTCCCACCCCTGGCCTCCTCCTCCTCTTCCTCCCACCCCTGGCCTCTTCCTCCTCCTCCCTCCCACCCCTGGCCTTCTCCTCCTCCTCCCTCCCACCCCTGGCCTCCTCCTCCTCCCTCCCACCCCTGGCCTCCTCCTCCTCCTCCCTCCCACCCCTGGCCTCCTCCTCCTCCTCCCTCCCACCCCTGGCCGCCTCCTCTTCCTCCCACCCCTGGCCTCCTCCTCCTCCTCCCTCCCACCCCTGTCCTTCTCCTCCCTCCCTCCCACCCCTGGCCTCCTCCTCCTCCTCTCTCCCACCCCTGGCCTCCTCCTCCCTCCCACCCCTGGCCTCCTCCTCTTCCTCCCACCCCTGGCCTCCTTCTCCCTCAAAACTTCCTGTAAACCTTGGCTTTGATGCCCCTGGCCCTGGTGATGGAGTTGGAGCCAGGACAAAACCACTGCTCTGCCCTTCTGCAAGGACCTAGTAGGGGAGGGGGGAGAGAGGGCTGGAGGGAGGTGAGGCCCACACCAGGGGGGGGGCAGGCTGGTGGGAACAGGCAGTCGCTCACATAGTCTTTCCTGAGAAGCTGAGGGTCACACATTAAGTGAAATTCCGTGACTGAGTGTCCATTTAGTTGGTGGCACCAGGGCCTCCTGCGGCAGGACATGGAGCTGTGTTTCCTGGTCAGGCGCTCAGTGTCTTCTGGGCAAGAACAGGTGACAGGCATGCTGTGCCGGCCTCCGCAGCCACTGGCAGAGCTGGACTGAGCCGCTGGGACACCTGTGGGGAGGGGAGGCCTCGGCCACACTGCCTGCCTCTCTGTGGGGAGGGCAGGCCTCCGCCACACTGCCTGCCTCTCTGTGGGGAGGGCAGGCCTGGGCCACACTGCCTGCCTCTCTGTGGGGAGGGCAGGCCTGGGCCACACTGCCTGCCTCTCTGAGCAGCCCAGGCCCCACACTCTCTGGGCAGGCTGTACTTGGTGTCTATGGAGGACATATGCCCCAGCTCCGCTCTGAGTCTGTGTAGCCTCGTGAACAACTGCCAGGCTTTTAGCCAGGGGCAGCTCTGCGCCACACTCTGGAACATGCGAGATGGGGGTGAGGGCCCGGCGGCGGCCTGGGCCTGACCCCTCGGTGAGGCCACGGTGAGGCCTCAGGGCTGGAGAGGGGTCGGGGAGGGGGGACCCCCAGGGCCTGACCCCTCGGTGAGGCCACGGTGAGGCCTCAGGGCTGGAGAGGGGTCGGGGAGGGGGGACCCCCAGGGCCTGACCCCTCAGTGAGGCCACGGTGAGGCCTCAGGGCCGGGGAGGGGGACCCCCAGGGCCAGAGCCCCCTCCAGCCACGCTGGGGCCTCGGGGCCGGGGAGGGGGACCCCCAGGGCCAGAGCCCCCTCCAGCCACGCTGGGGCCTCGGGGCCGGGGAGGGGACCCCCAGAGCCAGAGCCCCCTCCAGCCACGCTGGGGCCTCGGGGGCGGGGAGGGGGAACCCAGAGCCAGAGCCCCCTCCAGCCATGCTGGGGCCTCGGGGCGGGGAGGGGACCCCCAGGGCCAGAGCCCCCTCCAGCCACGCTGGGGCCTCGGGGCCGGGGAGGGGGACCCCCAGGGCCAGAGCCCCCTCCAGCCACGCTGGGATGGCACAGGACTGTGCAAGGGAACAGGAGGCCATGTCCAGCGCCCGAGCCCCGGGGGAACGCGCTGAGTCAGGCCCCCCTCGCTGCGAGAAGCAGACCGCCCAGCCTGGAGCCCATCCTGGCCCCATCCATCCTGCGTCATGGACTAGTGCACACCCACGCCGCAGGCCCAGGGAGGAGCAAGGTGATGGACGGCACCTTCCCACATTGACAGCCGGAGCGGGGCATGATCCCTGCGTAGTGAGAAAAGGGCAGAGCTGGTTTGGGGGCAGCGGTGCGGAGCACACCCCTCCCGTTGGGAGAGATGCCTGCAATCGCCCTGTCCCCGGCCGGCAAGACCAAGCCCCTGCAGGATGTGAGGAGCACACGGTTCCTTTGTTTGTGCCGATCCTGGGGCTTGAACTCAGGGCCTGGGCGCTGTCCCTGAGCCTTTTTGCTCAAGGCGAGCGCTCTACCACTTAAGCCACAGCTCCACCTCTGGCCTTTGGGGGGTTAATTAAAGAATCTCACTTTCCTGCCCAGGCTGTCTTTGAACCTCAATCCTCAGGTCTCAGCCTCCTGAGCGGTTAGGATGACAGGCGGGAGCCCCCCGCGCTGGGCTGGCTGGCTTGTTTTTACCCAGCACGGGGTAGGGGTGTCTTCATGGGCCTGAGGCACAGCGCGAGGGACCTGCCGCGGGCCGACCCAGCGTGCGGGGCCTGCGTCAGGGCAAACCGTCAAACATTGTGCCTGCTGCCTGTTTTGAGAATGCCACACGGTGCCCATCCTAGTGGTGCTGATGGCTTTGACAGAAACGACTCATTTGGCTTCTGAGCCCGAGACGTTTCCGACCCCAGCTGGCGTACCATGGCGGACTGGATGCCCACACTGGCAGGAGGGGCGTGGGGAAGGGGTGGGCTGGAGTAGGCCCCACAGGAATGGGGCGTGGATGCTAGGGTTTGACAGGTCCTGTGTGCGTGTGTGCACACGCACATGCGTGCACACAGCCCTCCACAACTCCCATAGTTACTGCCAGGATCCCAGAGTTTACCCTCTGGGGACCAAATGTGTCCAGGTGTTTCAGAAGTGCATTTTCTAGGGGACACCGCTGTGTTCAAGGATGGCAAGTACTGGATTCGAGGCCGGACATCAGTGGACATCATCAAGACCGGAGGCTATAAAGTCAGCGCCCTAGAGATCGAGCGTCACCTGCTGACCCACCCCAGCATCACCGGTAAGGGACAGGGGCCCTGCCCTGCCCATCACCCGGAGTGCTGGGGCCAGACCAGGGCGCGTGGGCTCTGATGGAAACCTGCCCACCATACCCAGGCAGCCTGCAGGCCTGGCCAGCCCTCCTCCCTGCCCACCATACCCAGGCAGCCTGCAGGCCTGGCCAGCCCTCCTCCCTGCCCACCATACCCAGGCAGCCTGCAGGCCTGGCCAGCCCTCCTCCCTGCCCAGCAGGCCCAGGCAGCCTGCAGGCCTGGCCCGCCCTCCTCCCTGCCCACCATACCCAGGCAGCCTGCAGGCCTGGCCAGCCCTCCTCCCTGCCCACCATACCCAGGCAGCCTGCAGGCCTGGCCCGCCCTCCTCCCTGCCCACCATACCCAGGCAGCCTGCAGGCCTGGCCCGCCCTCCTCCCTGCCCAGCAGGCCCAGAGCCGCGTGGAGGCTGAGCCCCCGCCCTCCTCCCTGCCCGGCAGGCCCAGAGCCCGTGGAGGCTGAGCCCTCCTCCCTGCCCAGCAGGCCCAGAGCCTGTGGAGGCTGAGCCCTCCTCCCTCCTCCCTGCCCACCATACCCAGGCAGCCTGCAGGCCTGTCCCGCCCTCCTCCCTGCCCGGCAGGCCCAGAGCCCGTGGAGGCTGAGCCCTCCTCCCTGCCCGGCAGGCCCAGAGCCGCGTGGAGGCTGAGCCCTCCTCCCTGCCCGGCAGGCCCAGAGCAGCGTGGAGGCTGAGCCCTCCTCCCTGCCCGGCAGGCCCAGAGCTGCGTGGAGGCTGAGCCCTCCTCCCTGCCAGGCAGGCCCAGAGCCCCGTGGAGGCTGAGCCCCCGCCCTCCTCCCTGCCCAGCAGGCCCAGAGCCCGTGGAGGCTGAGCCCCTGCCCTCGCCCTGCCCAGCAGGCCCAGAGCCGCATGGAGGCTGAGCCCTCCTCCCTGCCCGGCAGGCCCAGAGCCCATGGAGGCTGAGCCCCCGCCCTCGCCCTTCCACGGAGCCCGGCAGGCCCAGAGCCTGTGGAGGCTGAGCCCCCGCCCTCGCCCTGCCACAGAGCCCGTGGAGGCTGAGCCCTCGCCCTCGCCCCTGCCACGGAGCCCGTGGAGGCTGAGCCCTCGCCCTCGCCCCTGCCACGGAGCCCGTGGAGGCTGAGCCCCTGCCCTCGCCCCTGCCCAGCAGGCCCAGAGCCGCGTGGAAGCTGAGCCCCCGCCCTCACCCCTGCCACGGAGCCGCATGGAGGCTGAGCCTCCGCCCTCGCCTCTGCCACGGAGCCGCGTGGAGGCTGAGCCCCCACCCTCCTCCCTGCCCAGCAGGCCCAGAGCCGCGTGGAGGCTGAGCCCCCGCCCTCGCCCCTGCCACGGAGCCCGTGGAGGCTGAGCCCCCGCCCTCGCCCCTGCCACGGAGCCCGTGGAGGCTGAGCCCCTGCCCTCACCCCTGCCACGGAGCCCATGGAGGCTGAGCCCTCGCCCCTGCCACGGAGCCCGTGGAGGCTGAGCCCTCGCCCCTGCCACGGAGCCCGTGGAGGCTGAGCCCTCGCCCCTGCCACGGAGCCCATGGAGGCTGAGCCCTCACCCCTGCCACGGAGCCCATGGAGGCTGAGCCCTCGCCCCTGCCACGGAGCCGCGTGGAGGCTGAGCCCCCGCCCTCGCCCCTGCCACAGAGCCCATAGAGGCTGAGCCCTCGCCCCTGCCACGGAGCCCGTGGAGGCTGAGCCTCCGCCCTCGCCCCTGCCACGGAGCCCGTGGAGGCTGAGCCCCTGCCCTCACCCCTGCCACGGAGCCCATGGAGGCTGAGCCCTCGCCCCTGCCACGGAGCCCGTGGAGGCTGAGCCCTCGCCCCTGCCACGGAGCCCGTGGAGGCTGAGCCCTCGCCCCTGCCACGGAGCCCATGGAGGCTGAGCCCTCACCCCTGCCACGGAGCCCATGGAGGCTGAGCCCTCGCCCCTGCCACGGAGCCGCGTGGAGGCTGAGCCCCCGCCCTCGCCCCTGCCACAGAGCCCATAGAGGCTGAGCCCTCGCCCCTGCCACGGAGCCCGTGGAGGCTGAGCCCCCGCCCTCACCCCTGCCACGGAGCCCGTGGAGGCTGAGCCCTCGCCGCTGCCACGGAGCCCGTGGAGGCTGAGCCCCCGCCCTCACCCCTGCCACGGAGCCCGTGGAGGCTGAGCCCTCGCCGCTGCCACGGAGCCCGTGGAGGCTGAGCCTCCGCCCTCGCCCCTGCCACGGAGCCCGTGGAGGCTGAGCCCAGGGAACGCTGTGGGAGCCTGTCCCTCCACATGGGCAGGACACCAGGGACTCCTCAGATACCCTTCTTCTGTCCTCAGATGTGGCTGTGATCGGAGTTCCAGACCTGACATGGGGCCAGCGAGTCACAGCTGTGGTGTCCCTTCAAAAAGGACACTCCCTGTCCCACAGAGACCTCAAGGCGTGGGCCAGGTAGGGCGGGGGATGGGAAGTGCCAGTCCCCGGTCTCTGCGTCTACCATCGGGGGAGGGGGGCTGGCCGGCCGGGGGATGGGACGTGACAGGGGATGGGATGTGAGGGTCCTGGGTCTCGGCATCCACCGTCGGGGGAGGGGGGCTGGCCGGCTGGCAGTGGGCCTGGAGTGGCGCCGCCCTCTGCCCCCACGGAGTGACGTGGGCGGTGGACAGTGTCGGCCTGCAGACTGGGCCAGGAAGCCTGTTTTTGGGTGGTAGAAACGTGTTCCGAGGACTCTGCTTCAGGATGAAGCTCGTGTGTGGTTCAGCTGGATGCCACGGGGAAGGGCTGGCTAGTCCAGACCTGGCCACGGGCGCAGGAGCGACTGCCCCTCCGCCAGACTCACTCTGCCGCCCGTGACTCCCGGCCTTTGCCACTTCCTGCCGGACGGCTTCCCGGGAGGCCTTGCCTTCCTCCGCGCCCCGTGAGCCCGGCTCGGACCTTCCTCCTTCCCGTCCCTTAGTGCCGGGTCCCACGGCTGCGGCTTCTTCCTCAGGCCTACCCAGCTCCTTGCCTTCCATCCTGTCCCCAGCGGCCCTTCCTAGCTGTCCCCACCCTGCCTTCCTCTTCTCAGGGCCGTCCTCCAGATGCCAGGTCCTGCGCGGCGCCTGCGGTTCTGTGTAAGGCCACACGGGCAGAGCGGGGCCCCGGGAGCCCGTGGCAGAGCTGGTCTCCCCGCAGCTGGTAGCCTCGCCCCAGGTTCTGTCCCTGGAGTCTGAGACGGTTTCAGGCCGTCTCCCCCGCCCACCCGCTCCCACCCAGCATGCTCCTCTCCCCTCCCGGCGTGGAGATATTTCTGGCTGTCCAACACAGTTTCACAAACAGTGGGAGGCCCTGCTCCATCAGAGCCGCACAGCTGGGCGATTAAAGATTCCCCTCGATTTGCAAAATCACAGCTGGCGCTCTGCAGTTCAGCACAGGAGCAGAAAGAGCATGCTTGGCCAGTTGCTGCTTTGATTAAACAATTGCTTTGTTTAAAAGGGAGGAAACTAAAAACCGGCTGGCAGCAGGGCTCCTTGGTAAGAGACCCCAGCAGCACAAGGCCTTGAGTTCATACTAGTTCAGGATGGGGACGGGAAACAGACATTTTATTCTTAGAGTTGCAACAGAGTTAGGGATGGGGGTGACCCGTGAGCCTCAGGCTCAGCTGCATCCGGAGCCCCAGGCCCGGTGTGCTCACTCCTGAGCCCCCCCCCCCCCCGGCCTCCCTGGGATGCAGGGCGGGCTGCGGCAGGAGGATCTCGGGCAGGAGCTGCGTGCAGGCAGTGTGGGGCGTCTGGGAGTCACCACTGCGAGGCGTGGACCAGGCTGGGCTGGAGACTGACATGCGGTCTCCCCGGCCGCACCTCGTCTTCCAGAACTGTGGAGAGGATCAGTAAGAGCATTCCTGCGGACACGTAGGATTTCCAGACAGAACGAACAATGGAACCAGAACTCTGAGTTTGTAGATGGAAAGGGAGTCGAGGAAAGAGGAGAGGGCCCAAGTGTGAGTGCCAGACACGAGGCCCCTCACCGCAGCCGGGGGCCGCACACGTTACCGCCGCAGCCCGGGCGCCGCACACGTTACCCGCCGCAGCCCGGGCGCCGCAGGGTCCCTGCACCCCGGGGCCCCACAGGCCCGCACCCCAGGGGCCGCATACGTTACTGCCGCACCCCGGGGGCCCCACAGGCCACAGCCCAGGCGCCGCAGGGCCCCTGCACCCCAGGGCCCCACAGGCCCGCACCCTGGGGGCCGCAGGGCCCCTGCACCCCAGGGCCCCACAGGCCCGCACCCTGGGGGCCGCAGGGTCCCTGCACCCCAGGGCCCCACAGGCCCGCAGCCCCTAGGGTGCCCCGTTCCACCAGCAGTGCAAGGGACAGGAATCAGTTGCCACAACAAACAGAAAGCCAAAGATGTAGTTCAGCGTTCTCTTAAGTTGAAATCAGTTTAGAACTTTACCATAAAGCAAATGCCAGATCCCGGTGACCGGCTGCATGGATGGTCGGAGGAGTAGTCAGCCAGCCACGGTGTGGGACTGGTCCCCCTCTGTGTGGGACCAGCAGCACTCCAATACCTGAACCAGACACACTACCATCCCTTACGGACACAGAATGGTCACAAAACGCTGGTGATGAGGTTCTATTAATTTATGGGAAAGCCAGCTCATCAAAAGTATAGTTATTTCAGGATTACAAGGCTAAAACTCACCAGTCAATCTGTGTCTTCTCCAAATTCACCAAATAGAAGCCAAGCAGTGCCCACTCATCTGGGGGTTCTGGGCCGGGGGCTGGCGCCTGGTCTGGGAAGGGTCTCTGGCGACAGAGGCAGAATGTCCGGAGCCCTGTGGCCGGCCCGGGGGAGGGGGCGGGGAGGCCCGGGCTGGGCCCAGCTGTCCTGCGCCCCGGCCGGACCCCACCTTGGGCTGTGCTTCCCTGCAGAGACCTCCTAGTGCCCTACGCTGTGCCTTCCGAGCTCCTGCTGGTGGAGGCAATCCCAAGGAACCAGATGGGCAAGGTCAACAAGAAGGACCTGGTCCGGCAGTTCTACTCGTGACTGCCACCGGAGGGCCAGCCAGGCCGAGCCTGGGCAGCAGGCTCCCCTCAGGAGCACCGCACGCGCCATGGCAGGCTGAGACCTTCCCATGGAGACCCAGACCAGACAGCGTCCAGAACTTCCCGGAGGACCGTTGCCGCTCGGTGGGCCCAGATCCCGTCCCAGCCAGGGGTCCCAGCCCCATGACCCCGGCTCCTGCCCGGGCCTGGTGAGGGTGCCCCACCCAAGGCTGGTCCCAAAGTAGTCGCTGAGACGAGATGAAATAAAGGTGGGAGAAGACGAGCTGTGCGTGGATCTCACCCGTCTGCATGGTGCACCTCCCAAAACACGGTGTCTCCCGCCTCGGGGAGACCCCTGCTCACTGCTTCTGGGACGGCCAGGCGCAGCGAGGGCCCCGGCCCCCAGGCAGCACCCCGTGTAGCAGCTGCCTGGCCTGTCCCAGCCATCCCAACGGGGGCCGAGATCCCGCCTGCAGGGACGGTGCTCCCTCCCGCGGGGACGGTGCTCCCTCCCGCGGGGACAGACGGTGCTCCCTCCCGCGGGGACAGACGGTACTTCCTCCCGCGGGGACAGACGGTGCTCCCTCCCGCGGGGACAGACGGTGCTCCCTCCCGCGGGGACAGACGGTGCTCCCTCCCGCGGGGACAGACGGTTCTTCCTCCCACGGGGACAGACGGTGCTCCCTCCCGCGGGGACGGTGCTCCCTCCTGCAGGGACGGTGCTCCCTCCCGCGGGGACGGTGCTCCCTCCCGCGGGGACGGTGCTCCCTCCCGCGGGGACGGTGCTCCCTCCCGTGGAGACAGAAAGTGCTCCCTCCCATGGGGACAGACGGTGCTCCCTCCCGCGGGGACGGTGCTCCCTCCCGCGGGGACAGTGCTCCCTCCCGCGGGGACGGTGCTCCCTCCCGCGGGGACGGTGCTCCCTCCCGTGGGGACAGACGGTGCTCCCTCCCGCGGGGACGGTGCTCCCTCCCGCGGGGACGGTTCTCCCTCCCGCGGGGACAGACGGTGCTCCCTCCCGCGGGGACAGACGGTTCTTCCTCCCGCGGGGACAGACGGTGCTCCCTCCCGCGGGGACAGACGGTTCTTCCTCCCACGGGGACAGATGGTGCTCCCTCCCGCGGGGACGGTGCTCCCTCCCGCAGGGACAGACGGTTCTCCCTCCCGTGGGGACAGACGGTGCTCCCTCCCGCGGGGACAGACGGTGCTCCCTCCCGTGGGGACAGACGGTTCTCCCTCCCGCGGGGACAGACGGTGCTCCCTCCCGCGGGGACGGTGCTCCCTCCCGTGGGGACAGACGGTGCTCCCTCCAGCGGGGATGGTGCTCCCTCCCGCAGGGACAGACGGTGCTCCCTCCCGCGGGGGCAGACCGTGCTCCCTCCCGCGGGGACGGTGCTCCCTCCCGTGGGGACAGACGGTGCTCCCTCCCGCGGGGACGGTGCTCCCTCCCGCGGGGACAGACGGTGCTCCCTCCCGCGGGGACGGTGCTCCCTCCCGCGGGGACGGTGCTCCCTCCCGCGGGGACAGACGGTGCTCCCTCCCGCGGGGACGGTGCTCCCTCCCGTGGGGACAGACGGTGCTCCCTCCCGCGGGGACAGACGGTGCTCCCTCCCGCGGGGACGGTGCTCCCTCCCGTGGGGACAGACGGTGCTCCCTCCCGTGGGGACAGACAGTGCTCCCTCCCGCGGGGACGGTGCTCCCTCCCGCGGGGATGGTGCTCCCTCCCGCGGGGACGGTGCTCCCTCCCGTGGGGACAGACAGTGCTCCCTCCCGCGGGGACAGACGGTGCTCCCTCCCGCGGGGACGGTGCTCCCTCCCACGGGGATGGTGCTCCCTCCCGCGGGGACAGTGCTCCCTCCCGTGGGGACAGACAGTGCTCCCTCCCGCGGGGACAGTGCTCCCTCCCGCAGGGACAGACAGTGCTCCCTCCCGCGGGGATGGTGCTCCCTCCCGCGGGGACGGTGCTCCCTCCCGTGGGGACAGACGGTGCTCCCTCCCGTGGGGACAGACAGTGCTCCCTCCCGCGGGGACGGTGCTCCCTCCCGCGGGGATGGTGCTCCCTCCCGCGGGGACGGTGCTCCCTCCCGTGGGGACAGACAGTGCTCCCTCCCGCGGGGACAGACGGTGCTCCCTCCCGCGGGGACGGTGCTCCCTCCCACGGGGATGGTGCTCCCTCCCGCGGGGACAGTGCTCCCTCCCGTGGGGACAGACAGTGCTCCCTCCCGCGGGGACAGTGCTCCCTCCCGCAGGGACAGACAGTGCTCCCTCCCGCGGGGATGGTGCTCCCTCCCGCGGGGACGGTGCTGCCTCCCGCGGGGACGGTGCTCCCTCCCGCGGGGACGGTGCTCCCTCCCGTGGGGACGGTGCTCCCTCCTGCGGGGACAGACAGTGCTCCCTCCCGCGGGGATGCTGCTCCCTCCCGCGGGGATGCTGCTCCCTCCCGCGGGGACGGTGCTCCCTCCTGCACAGCACAGCCTTGTCTGGGAGGAGCAGAGCGTGTTGTGCAAAGACAGCACTGTGTGAGAAGTTGGCATCGGACCATCGCACCCCATGTGCATAACCTCCCCAGTGTGGGCCGGGCGGAGACAGCAGGATGCCGCGGAGCGGGCGGCACAGAGGCCCTCGTGGTCCATCCCCAGCCCAGCCTCGCGAGCCGCAGACCTGCCTGGGTTGGGCTCCGCGGGCGGAAGGGCCCAGCCCTCGCTGGGACGGCCCCTCGCTGGCAGGAGGCGGGGTAGAAGGCACCCTCAGTCTGGCCCCAAGCCCAGCAGGGGGAGGGGAGGGTGGACACGGTGCTGCTCGGGTCCAGAGTCTCAGCCTTCAGCCTTCGCCAGGTCAGACCACGAGCCATCCGACACCACTGAAAGAGACGGGAGTTAGAGCGGCACCGACACGTTGGCTCCAGAAAGTGCTGTCTGTGCTGTCTGGGGGCTGATGGGGTGGAGGGACGTCAGGCCGGGGAGGGGCCCGCAAGCAGAGCCCTGCCCAGGGCCTCCAGAGAAGGGGCTGCCACGCCAGGACTCCTTCCCTCCTGGGGCCCCAGGTGGGACAGCTCCCGTGTGAAGGTGTCCAGGAACCCAACCCTCCGGGGACACAGCCTGCACCTGCCAGCCCGGCCCCAGCACCAGGCCAGCCTCTGAAGACCGGCCGGGAGTCACACTCCCCGGGCCCCACCAAGCAGCCATCGAGAGGGTGAGCTGTCCAGGGCTAAGGGCGTGGTCTCCTGGGTGGTGTGCAAGAAGGCCGAGCCCAGTGCGGCCAGGCCCAGGGAGAGCTCAGGTCTGAGGGCCACACCTGGGCCTGAGCGGCAGGGAGAGCCACAGGACCCAAAGGAATCCACAAACTCCATCAGCACCCATGGGGCCCCAAGGAGACCCTTCAGGAAAGGGTCTTAGGCTTCCCTCAAAATCCAGATGGGAGCCGGGCGCCGGCGGCCCACGCCTGTCATCCCAACTACTCAGGAGGCTGAGATTGTAGGATCACGGTTCAAAGCCAACCTGGGCAGGAAAGTCTGTGAGACTCTGATCTCCAATGAACCACCAGAAAATCAGAAGTGGCGCTGTGGCTCAAGTGGTAGAGCGCCCGCCTTGAGCTGAAGCGCTGAGGGACAGCGCCCAGGCCCAGAGTTCAAGCCCACGAACGGACCCAAAACAAGAAAAAAATTCAGATGGGAAAGTGGAGAGGCAGAAGCAGCCAGCAGTGCCTGAGGGAGGGACCGGCCTGGTCTGCTGTCCTACCAAATCCCAAGACAGGGGCCGGCGAGGGGGGGCGTAGTGGGGGGAGGGGCAGGTACCGGGAGGGGGGGCACAGAGGCAGAAAGGCAGAGGAGTTCAGAGAGGCAGAAGCTGCTGGCGGGATGGAGGAGGCCACACGCTGCACGCTGGCGGGATGGAGGAGGCCGCACGCTGGCGGGATGGAGGAGGCCGGCCGCACGCTGGCGGGATGGAGGAGGCCGCACGCTGGCAGGATGGAGGAGGCCGCACGCTGGCGGGATGGAGTAGGCCGCACGCTGGCGGGATGGAGGAGGCCGCACGCTGGCGGGATGGAGGAGGCCGCACGCTGGCGGGATGGAGGAGGCTGCACGCTGCACGCTGGCGGGATGGAGGAGGCCGCACGCTGGCGGGATGGAGTAGGCCGCACGCTGGCGGGATGGAGGAGGCCGCACGCTGGCGGGATGGAGGAGGCCGCACGCTGCACGCTGGCGGGATGGAGGAGGCTGCACGCTGCACGCTGGCGGGATGGAGGAGGCCGCTCGCTGGCGGGATGGAGGAGGCCGCACGCTGCACGCTGGCGGGATGGAGGAGGCCGCACGCTGCACGCTGGCGGGATGGAGGAGGCCGCTCGCTGGCGGGATGGAGGAGGCCGCACGCTGGCGGGATGGAGGAGGCCGCACGCTGGCGGGATGGAGGAGGCCGCTCGCTGGCGGGATGGAGGAGGCCGCACGCTGCACGCTGGCGGGATGGAGGAGGCCGCACGCTGCACGCTGGCGGGATGGAGGAGGCCGCTCGCTGGCGGGATGGAGGAGGCCGCACGCTGGCGGGATGGAGGAGGCCGCACGCTGGCGGGATGGAGGAGGCCGCACGCTGGCGGGATGGAGGAGGCCGCTCGCTGGCGGGATGGAGGAGGCCGCACGCTGCACGCTGGCGGGATGGAGGAGGCCGCTCGCTGGCGGGATGGAGGAGGCCGCACGCTGGCGGGATGGAGGAGGCCGCACGCTGGCGGGATGGAGGAGGCCGCACGCTGCACGCTGGCGGGATGGAGGAGGCCGCACGCTGCACGCTGGCGGGATGGAGGAGGCCGCACGCTGCACGCTGGCGGGATGGAGGAGGCCGCACGCTGGCGGGATGGAGGAGGCCGCACGCTGGCGGGATGGAGGAGGCCGGCCGCACGCTGGCGGGATGGAGGAGGCCGGCCGCACGCTGGCGGGATGGAGGAGGCCGGCCGCACGCTGTCCTGGGAAGGATGGGGCCCCTCCCTGGGAGCACTGCAGAGCACACAGACCCTCCCAGGCTGAGGGCCTCTGTGAGGGCCGCGAAGCGCTGCAAATAGGAGGCTGGGGTGAAAGGGGTTTGCTGATTGACTGGCTTACTTATCCTAGCACTCGGGCTAGAACTCAGGGCCTCTCCTTCTTGCTTGTTTCTTTCACTCAAGGCTGGTGCTCTGCCATGTGAGCCACAGCACCATTCAGGCTTTTTGCTGGTTAGTTGGAGATAAGGGTCTCATGAGTCTGTGGCTTTGTTCCCATGATCTTAAGGGAAGTAATACCAGCTGTAAGCTGACCAT